TCTATCTATATATATATATATATGAATAGCTGTGATAACTGTATTGCTGATGTTTGATGGTATATTGAAAGGAACAGTTAATGCTTAAAATTTTTTATGTTCTGACCAATTTTGCACGGAACTACCATGGTGAATTCCTACCATCTTGTCTAGTGAAACTCTATATTATCTCTAATGTTTTATCTAATAATTATTTTCTTATTCTCTCTAATGGTTTGAACAATCTTCCATTCTTACATCTGGCAATCTGAGCAACATAGTTGAAGATAACAATATGTAATATAACAATCATTGTTAATTTGTATTATTTTGTCTTGAAACCCTGTTTCACTTTAAATGTTCTTGCTTTGGTTTGTTTATGTTTGTGATGCTGGTATGCTGCCATTGTTCTTTTTTTTCTTATTTACTGCTATCTTGAAAATAAAAATTAAAAAAGATTATCATGTATATACTTTTAAAAAATAAAAAGAATAGATGTCTCAAAAAAGTACAAATAATATATACATAAAAAAATGTCCAACATCTCTGCCCATTAGGGAAATGCAAATTAAAGCAACACAGAGATTCCATTTCACCCCAGAAAGAATGACTAAAATCAAGAAATTAAATAATAACAATTGTTAGTGAGTCTGCAGAGAAAAAGGAACCTCCTACATCAATGGCAGGAATAAAAACTAACACAACCATAATGAAAATAAGTATGTAGCACTTATAATTATAGAATTATAATGCCTTAAAAAAGTAAAAATAGAAATTCTGTTTGACCCAGCTACTCCCTTTCTAAGTATTTTCTCATAAGAGTTAAAGACATCATACAGTGATAAATGTACACCCATGTTTATAGTAGTACAGCTGATAATAGCTAAATATTAGAAGTGTTATTCACATATATGTTATTCACAGCTATATGTCATTCATAGCTATTCATATACATGCCCATAAACAGATGAATGAATAAAGAAAATGTGGTATTTATATACAACAGAATACTACTCTGACATAAAAAAGGACAAACTTGAGTCATTTGCAGGAAAATGGATGCACCTTGAGACCATAATGTTAAGTGAAGTAAATCAGACACAGAAACATATATCACATAGTTCTCTTATATAAGAAACTGAAACTGTAAATAAAGAGCAAAATAAAAGATAGATAACAGGAAGTAGGGAGATATATCTTTTGTAAAAGGGAAGGAGACCAAAACAGAAGAGGAATGGAAAATAGAATGGAAGAGGGAGAATAGGGAAAAGAGATGAAAAGAAAATCGAAATGTGCTATGTATAGGTACCAATTCTTCATGAAGAATGTAATTATTATGTACTATGAACAGGTATTAAAGAATAAAATTCTGCCCAATAAATCTGTATGCCTCTTTTAAAAAAGATGAGTGAAAACAAATAGAAAAATTTTTAAAAACTACCAGGACTCAGTAGATACAATGCTCAGAGAGAGAATTTATAAGTCCTTATATTAAATATCTGTGGGACTCATGAACTTTTATAACTTAACAAACTAGAAAAAGTGCAAAGTCAACACATAGTTAGCTGAAGGAAATAACAAAGATTAGAGCAGAGATAAGTTAAATAAAAATTACAAAAACAATTGAGAAAATTAATGAAATCAAATTTTCATTCTTTAACAAGATTACTGTATTTTAAATAATAGCTATATTTAATAATAGCTGTTATGTACTATATTTTATACTATACCTTTATAGCTAGATGGACTACAAAAAAAAAAGCAGAATTATTTTCCTAAAGTCAGAAAAAAAAATGAGATGTTACTAGAAATAAAGAGGATTATTGAAGGAAAAATTGCATGGTAATAAATTGGTCAACCTAGGTGAAAGGGACAAATTGCTAAAAGCATGAAACTTACTAAGACCAATTGATGAAGAAATATAAAATACAAAGAGATAAGGTAGCTGGGGTCGCAAAATAAATGCTCACATGTTTGGTTGAATGTTTTTCCCTAAGGAGTAGAAAACCGTTCCGTGGGGGAAGGACAGTTTTTTCAAAAAATTGTGCTGGGAAAATGACTATCCACATGCAAAAGAATGAGGATGGGCTCTTCCTTACCAGCATTTGCAAACTTCACCGAAGACCTGAATGTAGGGCCTAAAACAACTCTCACAAGGAAAAATAACAGCACAAACTTCACAGTATTGAATTTGGCAACAATTTGTTGGATTTAACACGAAAGGCACAGACAAAAAAGGGAGAACAAGCCAACTGGACTTTATGTACCTTAAAAACTTTGTGCATCAGAGGGCCTAAGGGCTGGGAGTGTAGTTCAGAGGTAAAACCTATCCCTAGCATGAACAAGGCCTGTATCCCATCCCCAAGACCCAAAACCAAGCAAGCAAACTAAAATACACTAAGTACTCCACAGATGTGTTCTGCTCCTCTGCTAGATTCTGAGTCTTGTGGACAAGATCTGTCTTAGTCATCTCTGAACTTCCCAAAGTAACTGCCAATAATGTCTCTGGATTAAAGGGAAAAAAACCCCAGTATAAGTAGAGTAAAAAGGCAGCCCACAGAGTGGGAGAAAATATTTCCAAATCATATGTGTGATTATTGTCCACAGAAACCCTAAAATTCAACAACTTAAAAATGATTGGATTAAAATGGGCGAAGGCCTTGATATCTGTCCAAGGAAAATAGACAAATGCCCAGTGGCTCATATAGAAATGTTCAACATTGGGGCTGGGGATTTAGCTCAGTGGCAAAGCGCCTGCCTGGCAAGCGCAAGGTCGTGAGTTCGGTTCCTGGTACCGGAGAAAAACAAAACAAAAAACAAAAAAAAAAAAACAAACAAACAGAAATGTTCAACATTATTAGTCATTACAGAAGTGGAAACCAAAACCACCATGAGATTCCATCTCACACCCATTAGGATGGCCTCTGTCAACAAAACCAGAAAGTCACAAGGCTTGGGAGGATGTGGAGCAGCTGAAACACCAAGCCAGGGAAGGAAGAGTCCCCTGTCCTGGGAATTTCCCTGCTCCCTCTGCTCAGCATCCCTGCTCACAGTTGGTGCCAAGGACTGTGATGGAGGACAGGTGGGGAGGCTTGGGATAGGGGAGTTGGGAATCTCCCAGGTTGTCCTGAGCTCTGAGGGACTGATGGGCATTGGGGAGATCCTGTGGAACAATCCTCATCCCTGCCCTGAGATTAGCAGTGGTCGGAGAGCCGTGCTGGGGAGGTGTCCCTGAACTGAGGGTCTTTGACCTGCACAGCAAGGATCAAAGAGTTTTGCCTCAAACTCGGTGCCATCCTCTGTGTGCCACACCACACTAGTTGAAGAACTTTAGTAAGTCACTCACATTTCTTGCCCTCAGTCTCTGTCTATAAAATGGGACAATGTCTGGAAGCCCTCACTGTCCATGCTGATGTGAGAGGGTGAGATGGACACGTGATTGCTGGTGCTACGGGCACGTCAGTGTTTGGATCCAGATCTCGTCCCGGAGTGTGTGCCTGGTGTGGGGATGGGCGAAGGCTGGTCAGAGGTGAGGGGACCGGCTGCAGCCTAGCACAGTACCTGCACCCCAGGTCATGGTCTTCATCCTGAGTTCAGCTCCTGTCCCAGAGCCCCAACAACCACGGTCTTCACAGAATAGAAAGCTGGAAGGAAGAGCCGGCCTCGGCATCCAAACACACACCAACATGCAGGAGCCCCTGTGGAGCTATCTCAGGGTGGCTTTGGGAAGTGCTCAGTCCAGAGCCCTCAGGGCCAGGGCGGAGCTCAGGGGTGCCTGGCTCTGAAAGGGGTCTGCAGCTGTGTGGGGCCAGAACGGGTACACAGGGTGAGACTCACCTGTCCCTGAGGAGCTCGTGCTCAGTCGGCACGTGAGGGCACCCTAGGCTTCTCCACCGAGGCCTCCAGACTCGCATGGGGCATGCCTGGGGCAGGCAGGTTCTCAGCAGGAGGCCCAGGCCTGTCAGAAGTGTGGTGGCCAAGCCAGCAGCCAGCAGAATCCCTGAAAGGTGGGCAGTGCGAGAGGACCCTCAGAACCTCCCCAGCCTTCTTGTTCTCTTGAGCTCTAACTCCTCAGGGTTCTTCCCTTCTCGCATCTTTTGGTCTCTCACTGGGAAGCTCTCCCCTCACCCCCAATCCTTCCCGCCTTGAGTGTGTAACTGTGTCAGTGGGTGTCTATGAGTGTGAGAGCTGTGCTACCAAGCCCAGGACCTTCCTTGAAGCCTCCGCATGGCAGGGCAGTGTCCTCTCTGCCACTGGGCAGGGTTGGGTTTCTCCCCAACTCAGGGCCCTGCCTGGAGAGCTCAGTGCAGAGTACTGACTGATGGGGCCGGAGAGTGGGGAGGAGAAGCCACCCCACATGGAGGCAGTCTAGGCTTGTCTCCCTGAAAATGACGACCTATTTGAAGGTAAGTTCCACCATGCGTGTGTCTCTGTACCTATCCGTTCTCCTGGGGGTCACACCTAGACCACAAAAGGGCTGACGCACACCTGGGGCCCTGCCATACGGAGCCCCTCCAGACCCTTGGTCCTGGCTGCCCTGTCTATGTGAGTACCAGTGATTGCCGCCCAGTCTGGGCCCAGGAGCAGCTCTCGCTGGAGGACGCCAAGCCTGCGCAGTTGGTACGGCGAGGAGGGCTGTATGGGAGCCAGGCCAGGGCCACAGGCTGCCCCCTCTTCTTGTACCCGCACCACAGCAATGCCCTCGGGCTGCCCATTGTCATGAAACACATATGTGCCCGGGTCTAGGAACTGATGGGCAAACCTGGAGGAGTAAAGCAGCCAAGATGTGCTGCATGTTTGGGCTGGGTGTCTGCAGGCTATGCCATTCCTCTGTCCCCACAGGAGCAGCCTAGTCCACTTACACTGAAGACGATGCCCAGCCCGATGGGCACCAGCTGGGCACCAGAGGCAAGCCAGCTGCCCAGAGTCTCTCAGGATGCACATGCCCCATCCTCCTAGTTGCCTTCCGGAAGGAGGCTATGACTTGCACAGGAGGCTCAGCACATGCCCCTGCCCCCAACTCCCAGGGAGTGCCCCCGTCACCTTGAGAGGTTGACCTGTGTCTCTTGCACCAGGTGGCGGAGTCTCCTGAAAGCTCCGAAGTCCCAGTGGGGGTTGCTGTTGAGCAGATGCTGCCTCTGGTACACAGGGTAGTGGCTAGCTGAGCGGTCTGGGGAACAAGCAGGGCCGGGCTGGGGGCCAGAGGCTCCCGTAGCCCCAGACTTGGGTAGACTGGATCTGGGAGCTCAGTGCCAGGCCTTAAGTGATTGGAACTGAGACATGTTCGCAATGAAATGTCGTGTGTGGGATGGTGCACGTAGCAGTCCTGGTACTAGAGCAAGCCCTCTGCCCTCTGCCTACAGAGGGGCCCCCAGAGCTGCATGCCTCTGTAGTGAGCACAGTTGATGGCCTGGAACACTATACATGAGAGCCTCACCATGGCGCAGCAGAAGCTGGCACGGGGCAGGCACTTACTGTGTGTGTGGAGCAGCTAAGGGGTGGACAAGACCTCTAAGGAGTGGACAGAAGCACGCGTGTCTTTGCCCAAGGTGGGGCGAGCAGTGTGGAGGAGTGCAGTGTGACTGAGCTCATGAGAGAGACATGGCAGGAAGGCTTGGGGAGGGTTGGGCTGCCCAGGACCGAAGGGAGTAGAGAAGTCCAAGGCCCCGGGACCCGCATGGAGCTCATTTGCTGCTTTGATCCATGTCAGCCTACATCCCTGATTCTCCCACCCCTTTTCTATCTCTCTCATGGCTTTAGGTCTGCAGGCCCTTTGGGCTTTCCCCTCTTCAGCCAACTCAGTGGCCATGGATGGGGCAAAGCTGCAGCTCTGTGTGGGAGCAGCTGGGATGGGGCAAAGGATGCCTGCCCAGCCCACAGCAGAAGCCAAGGGTAGGTGGGGAGCTGAGATTTATTGAGGGCCTGAGACCTGAAGTGGACCAGGTGGACCCCAGCACTCCCCAGGAAGGGCTGGTCAGGGCCCAGGGTGCCGGAGACCTCCTGAGGAGATGCAGCAGCCAGCGCCAGGCAGCACAGGGACAACAGCAAAGGAAAAGAGTTCTAACTGGGCTCTGAGGTGCTTGAGGCTTAGTGATGTGGCTTCCACCTCCTCACGTCAGCTCCTTCTCAATGGCACCCATGTCTGGCCTCTGCAGCCCTGGTCCCTGCTTCTCCTCGGAAAGTACCAGGACACTTCCCAGGCCCTCACTTATCAATGGCAGCAGGCAGCAGTGAATAGTGTAGATGAGAGGGTCAGGTCCAGGAGGAAGCCGAGCACCCTATTCCATCGAAGAGGGCTGTCTGCACAAGGAATTAGGCCTGCTCTGTGGGGCTCCCAGGAGTGGGGACCCCAGGGAAGTGAGGGGCTTTAGCTTATCTCCAGGAAGACAGCCCTTGCTAACCCCTGTGGCCTGTGGGAGGAGCTGCAGGGCTTCCCGGAGCGGTTCTGTGGGGCTTCAGGCCCTGCAGGGCGCAGCGTGGCACAGACTGAAGACAGTCAGCAAGCAGCCTGGGGCAGCCCTCGCTGGGCCACCTCTCCTCAGTGCACAGTAGGCCGCCAGGTCCCCGGGCTGCAGGGGACTCACAGAACGGTGGAGCTGGGACATGTGCTCCATCACCCACTTTTATAAAGAAACAGGCACAGGGTACAGTCCACAACTGGGTTGGAAGCTGGGCACAGCATGGTGTATGATTCCTCCCTGCACAAGCCCGGTCTGTACACGGGGTCACCTGTACAGGCAGGGGGTGACAGACTGCCAGGACTAGGGGGTCCCTGTACAGGCAGGGGGTGTCACCTGTACAGGCAGGGGGTGACAGACTGCCAGGACTAGGGGGTCCCACAGGTCTGGCACGCAAGCCTGGCACACGGGTGGCACTCACTGTGGGGGAGAAGATGGAGCTGGAAGAGGATCACATCCCCTGCTGCCAGACAGACCACGGGGTTTGGAATGTGGGGACCAACATAGGGGTGCTCTGGGTCTGCGGTCCTGTTGAGTTTCTGTGGCTGGGGACTGGATGTCGGTGGTTCTGGGAATGTTTGGGGAAGGCACACTGAAGACCTGGGATAGGCTGGGAGGCGCGAGCTCACCATCAGCCCCGCCTGTCTCCCTCTCCTGGAAGCTCAAAACCAGCCCTGGGAGCTCCCCATGCAAACGTCTTTCCTCCGGGCCTTTCTAGCGCATCTGCCATACTCTTTCCTCTGGATACTCTGGACATAGTGAAAGGTTTGCACGGGGTTGTGGTATGGTGGGGAAGGCCCCTGCCTTGCCCTCCCTCTAAGAAGGTAGCCATGCCCTGTTCCTTCTCACCCTCCTTGAAAACCCTCACCTGGGTCCCCCTCCTCTGTTTACCTTGGAGGAAGGAGCCAAGCATATCCACTCTGGAGACGATGAAGCCAAAAGTTCCATGGGGGCTGAAGTGGACCAGGTGGACCCCAGCACTCCCCAGGAAGGGCTGGTCAGGGCCCAGGGTGCCGGAGACCTCCTGAGGAGATGCAGCAGCCAGCGCCAGGCAGCACAGGGACAACAGCAAAGGAAAAGAGTTCTAACTGGGCTCTGAGGTGCTTGAGGCTTAGTGATGTGGCTTCCACCTCCTCACGTCAGCTCCTTCTCATTGGCACCCACGTCTGGCCTCTGCAGCCCTGGCCCCTGCTTCTCCTTGGAAAGTACTAGGACACTTCCCAGGCCCTCACTTCTCAATGGCAGCAGGCACAACTTTTTGGTAGGCAAGTCTGTCCAAGGCCACCCCGTCAGGTCCAGGTCCTGTATCCCACTGCTCCTCACCAAGCCACCACCGCCACGCCCACAGCACATCTGGCCTGTGGCCGGAGGCGGGGCTCTGGCAGGCTAACATCACTCAGAGTTCCACGCGGAGTGGTCTCTGTGTCTCACTCCTGTGTTGTAAAGCAACACGCATGCTTTCTGTGGCTCCTTCTGGCTTTCGGATTGTATGGTGGGCATCAGCATGAAGGGAAAGGCCCACAGACAGCTAGCTGAGCAGGGCACTGTCTGCTGGCAAACGGGCCTTCCCCTTATGCTTGGTGCCTGTTTCTCTGCAGCTGCAGGGACTGGGTGACCCCACGTCCCTTGTCGCCAGCAGGCAGAGGCTGCCTTCCCATGCCAGCCTTTCCTGAGAGGGGCTTACCCTCTGGATGATGTCTCCTGCCTCCCTCTTCACGCTGAGAATCAGCTCCCTGCTGGGGCCCCAGACCAAGGAGAGCTGAGGGGCCCTGGTTAGACACTGGACGTCACAGAGCTCCTCTGATGAGACATACTCCAAGCACTGGCAGCTACAGAGGAAGGAAAAGGTGGGAGGCTGTTCAGCGGCGGAGGGAGACAGCTCAGCCTGCAAAGGACCCTTAGGCAGGACAGAGGGGGCCCTCAGCCTTCTCTCCAGGGAAGGTGAGCTACCTCTTCCTTAAGAACTACTGCACTAGTGGTGGAGGCCAGGCTTGTTATGCAAGTTGCAGGAGCCAGGACTACCCCCAGCACGGACCAGAATTCTCAGAATTCCTGCTCTAGGCATCCTGCTGAAGGAAGCTGGGGAGGGACCTGCACAGCCTGGAAGGCTCCTGGTGGTCCAGGGGACATCCCTTCCTGGCTCAGTCTACAGGTCAGCAGGAGGATCAGCACTTAGGACAGAAGAGGGTGTGTGTCTCAAGTTGGCCTGTGCAGGGGGTCAGCACCTTGTTGTCACAGGACCTGAACATGGGCCCTTCTCTCCCTGGAACTTGTTCTGCCCCGGCTGCCACCAGGGCTGGCGCTAGCCAGGTCTCTCTGGGAGTGCTCAGGCTGGCCTTTGGAGGGAGCTTGCAGTGGCTCAGTGTCCCAGCAGGGCTGGGGCCACCACAGCCTGTAGGTGGGCCCTTTGGGGATCGAGGACCTGTGTGCAAAAGTCCTGCTGCTCTGGGCAGCTGTCTTCACTCACATGCCCAGGTCCACGCTGAGTTCCCCACCTCCTGGGTGGCAGAAGGAGGCACAGTCATGCGTCTGCGGAGACACACACTTGTGGGTGGCAGCCAGGCGGACGTCTCCAGGTGGGCAGCGCTCAGCGACCTGTGAAGTTAGCAAGAAGCCTTGGCCCTGTCTCCCTGGAGGTCTGATGGGCACCTTTTAGCATCAGAGAACATTTCAAGGACTCAGGGTTCCCGTTTAGTCTCTACCAAGAGCAGGCTTAGGAACAGAAGGTGGTGGCCTTGGGAGATGAGCAGGGCTCTAGCTGGGATATAATCAGGGAAGGCTTCCTGGAGGAGGTGGTGGAGATACTAGTTGTACAGTCAGACTGTGAGAGGGACATTCAGAAGGAGGGCCAGAGCTCAGATGACCAGGGTGTGCCAGGAGAACCACCCCATGGCTGGGTGGACGGGCTGCAGGAGGAAGTCCTGCTCAGTGAGGCCATTCCTGCGTTGTCCTGTGTGGCCTCCTGACAGTGTAGACCTGGAGGGCGGAGCTAGGAGGCTGTGGCCACCTTCCCTGGAGGCCACAGGAAGACTCACGTCCCATCTGGAGGGCCCCACTACTGAGGCTTACGATTTCCAAACCTGTTTGTGTCTCCACCAGCAGAAAAAATTATTGCGAAAATGGTAACCTATATTGTCTGTACAGAAATGATTAAGATGCAAAGGTAAAGCCAACGAAAGGGAAAATGAACATGAGCAGCTGGCATGTTTGTTGCTGGTCCTGAGCACGCCCACTTGTGTCTGTGAGGAGCCTGTGTCCTGCCTGCTCTCTGCTCTGGGCCAGCCCAGGGGAGTCTGGGGATCCCCATGAGACAAGGCATCCTTTGCCTGAGGGGCTGGCTTCAAGAGGGAGCCCACCTCTGACCCCCACCTGTCCTCTGGCTTGCCGGGGCAAGAGGCAGGCCAGTACCCCAGCAGCTCTCAGGGCGGGAGGAAGTACAGCCAGGGCAGGTTATCCTGGGGCTTGGCTCTGAGGGCTGGCTGGCTTTTCAGGAGGGGACGGAGCCAACTCTGGAGGAACAGCAGGGACTGAGAGGGCACCACTCTTGGGTGTGCCTGGCTGCAGGAGGGGAGGGAAGGAGGTCACCCTGGGTCCTGCAGGTGCCCTGGCTTTGACCTGAGAAGATGCGGGAGGCAGGGCCAGTTAACGACAGCGGGGACCCAGGCCCAGACTTGGGCAGGTGGCAGCTTGTCTGTACTGGGGGCTCTCAATGAGTTCAGACTGAGCAAGGCCATGGCTGGGCTGGTGTGTGGTTTCGGGTGTGGTGGAAGGGCTGGGGAAAGTGCAGTGCTGGGTCCCAGGCAGGCGCTTGCTCTCCCTCCTGTGTGCCTGCCTGCTCTCGGCTGCAGAGCCTCACCTGGGGCTGGCAGTCCTCTTTGCCGTCGCTGTCCTGGCCCCTTCCCAGGTCCCCGTGGTCGTAGGAGACATGTCCTGTCTGGCAGATGCAGGAGCCATCCGACTTCTGGAAGACCCTGTTCAGGCCCCAGCACGTGCAAGAGGAACTACCTACAGTCAGAAAAGCCCTCTTATGCCACAGGACCCAGCTGCAGGCTGGCCCGAACCCTTCCTCAATTTGTGGTGGGGGAGCTGAGACACCCATTTCATACAGTCATGAGCTCAGGGGACTCTTAGGGGCTACATGAGATCTTCTCAGTAGGTCATTTTCAACCTTGGCTTTTTTTGGTTTGTTTTTGTTTTGTCTTTTGAAACAGGGTCTTGCTATGTATTTCAGGGTGGTCTTTTTTTAGTACTGGAACTCAAACTCAGAACCTTGCACTTGCCAGGCAGGTGCTATGCTGCCGAACTACATCCCTGGTCCTTCAAGGTGGTTTTGAACTCAGTATGTAGTCCCAGGATGAACTCAAACACACAGTGATCCTCCTGTCTCAGCCTTCCAAGTGCTGGGATTACATGTAGATATCACCACGCCCTGCACTGACCTTGACTTTCTTGTGCTCATGTAGAAAGCTTTTGAACAACACCAGCTTCCAGGAATCCTCTAGGCTAATTAAATAAAACTCTTGGAAGGGGGGCCCGGGCATCTTTTAAAAGTGCTCTGAGAGCTTCAGTGTGCAGCCTGGGCTTAGACTTGCTGGTGTAGAGGCAAGGACTAGAGACGGTGCTAAGGCCTCTTCCCACGCGTGGTCACATACAACCGTGTGGAGCGGTCCTGAGGCACTGACTGGGCTGCTGTCTCCAGAGCACGCGGGCAGGAGACCTGCGGAGACCGAAGCCTGAAGGATGGACAGCGGGTCCCGGCAGGCCAGGAGGAGGGGCACGAGTGCACCGGCAAGGGCAACCTGGTTTGCTCTGGGCGGACAGTTGGGGGAGAGGTGGTAACCGGCTCTGAGGGAGCCTGGGGCCTGGCATTCCGAGGGTGGAGGCTGCTGGCATCTCATGATATCTGCTCAGGACCCGACTGCGGCACCTGAGATTTGGTGTGCTGATGGGGTCAGATACTCCCATGACACAGGGAATGTTCTGCAGTCAGGGGCTGGAGATCACACCTGCTCCAGTACCCTGCGCTCGACCATGGCCCAGCCCCTGAGGGATCAGCCTCCTGCTGAGACCCTGAGCACAGCTGTAGCCTGGAAATGTGGACACAGAGGCACAGAGAGACATCTGTGCTCAGAGGCAAGTCTGTGTGAGGACGCAGGCAAAGGCAGGCACCCGAGAGCTGAGGAGAGGCTTCAGGGGAAACCAAACCTGTTCACTCCTCGATCTTTGGCCTCCAGGCTCCACAACTCTGAGGAAATGATTTCCTGTCCTTCAAGTTGTCCAGGCTGTGATATGTTGCATTGGCAGACCTAGCAAGCTAATACAACCTCACAGTTCTACTGTCAGAGGATGGATGCAATCATTTTGACAAGAAAAAATTTTAGTACTACCTAAAGATCACCTCACCACAGACATTATAAGCACACACTCAAACCAATAAAACATACTCCTCAAATCTGTGAGCAAAAGGTATATTGATTTGTATGGCTGATAAAACCCCAAAGGGGGAAAGAACTAGAAAAAAAATATGCATATAGCCTCAATAACTCAAATCCCATCCCTGCCTATGCTGGGCTACTATGGACAAGCCAGCAAATTATAAGTTAGGCAGAAGAATCACCTGCTCTTCTCAATCTCTATCTTTAGGTTAGCAGTGGGGCAGAATGCAGTGGGTAGTCACCTGACTTGAAGATGCAAAATGATGGCAGAATTTGTGTGTGGTAGTGCACACCTGTCCTGTCTACTTAGGAGGCTGAGGCAGGAGGATTGAGCCCAGGATTTTGAAGCCAGCCTGGGCAACATAGTGAGACCCTGTCTCTTAAAATAAGATGGTAGAATCCCTGGGAACCTCAAATTGCACAGACTGATGGAAGCCTGGTGCAGTGGTTCAGAGCAAAAACTCAGAAGTCAGTCCAGCTGGACTTAATCTTGGTAGCTGCATGCATATGTGCAAGTCATTTAAACCCTGGTTCAGTTTGCATTGAAAACAAGGGTATAGCAACATCCTGTGTTGCTACATTGTTATGTGGCTCGCATGGGTTCGCGTTTGACAGCACTCAGGTGCCTGCCATGTGGTCAGTGTCCTTGTGACTACCAGACAGGAAGCTGTTCACTCCCTGCATGCAGATCTGGAGCTAGACATCCACCGGGGCAGAGCTGGAGGAACCTGTTGAAGCTATATGTGTGCGATGAGTGTGGTTTTGGGTCTTCCACTATGGTATAAATTGGCCACAGGGCACAGATCGGAGGACGACATGTCTTCCAAAGGGGTGGTGGTGAGCAATGTGGCTCAAGCTGAGACCTAGGCCTGCAGCTGCACCCTGACCCTCCTGTGTAGAGCCTCAGACCAGGGTCAGACGTAGGAGAATGGGTGGAGGCTGCCACCCTGAGGACAGACACAGAAGCAGATACCCTGGACCGTCTCTAAGCAGAGCCTGGTCCCCGGAGCTGCACCATCCTGAGCTAGCGGCTGGTTCTGTCTGAGCCAGATTCTCTTGCTTGCTCACATGCTTGCTGGAGTCCCGGGGACAGACGCACGCTCAGACACACCCTACCCCTCCTCTCACACGTCCACTCTCCCAACACACCTGCAGCCTGTGAGCCCTCAGATTGCAGAGGACAGAGGCACGAACTCACCCGGAGGGGAGAAGGCTGAGCGCCCACAAGGAAGGCAGCCTGCCTGGCCAGTCAGGGCGCTGAAGGTGCCCGCAGGGCATGGCCTGCAGTCTTCGGCTTCCTTGGCCTGGCTACGACCTCCATAGGTCCCCGCTGGACAGGGCTTGGGGCTGGGCATCCCCGGAGGACAGTAGTGGCCCACCGGGCAGGGCTGGCTATGGTAACTCTCTGAGCCTGCAGAGAAAGGAAAGGCAAATCTGAGTGTGGACTTGGGCTGCAGCAGGACTGAGAAGGTGTGGGGAGCCTGTGGCTGGCCTGGGATGGGCAGGCCTGCAGCTGATGGAACAGCGGGTGGCAGGGGCAGTGGAGGGGCAGTGTCTCCCAGACCCCACTGTCCTCTCATGCTTCCAGCAGCACAGCACCTTTCTGTCTCCCAGACAGCCAGGCAGCACAGGACAGTGCCAGAGTGGGCACATGGGATGTGGGTATCCCACGCACCAGAGCACCTTGTCCCCGTTCCCACATCCTCGTGTGCTGGGGCTTTCCACGCTGCAGTCTGGAGTCTTATGACTCTAACCCTGACGTGGAGATGCGCCAGCTGCTCTGTGGCCTCTTTTACCTTCAGCCCTGCCCCAGCTCTGAAGTGCGTGGTGGGAGCTGGCTTCGCTGAGAGACAGAAAGCTGCGGGCAGGTCCCCTGCTGCCCTAGGCTGCTCCCCTTTCCAGCAGGACCCCTCATCCCTGGGCACTCACCTTGGGGGCAGCTGAATCCAGCGGGACAGGGTTGGCAGGGCAGGGCATCCAGTGCCTGGCTATGGTAGGTGCCAGCTTCGCACTGCCGGCAGCAAGTCCCAGCAGAGAGCCTGAGGCCGCTCCTGTTCAGGGCCTCAGAGCCCCCAGGGCACGTACGAGGATGGGCACTGCCCAGGGGGCAGTAATAGGGAAACAGACAGCTGCACAGAGAACAGCCAGGCCTGGGTCACACTGGGGACTACAGGCTGCGGCGTCTCCTCTGCCAGCAGGGCCCCACAGCCTTAGCTTGGGGTGTACACTGGTGTGGGAGGTGACATCACCCCAGATGGAGTCTGGATGCCTGTGTGTACTAGGCCTCAACGACTGGAGCTGCCCTCCTGGAGGAGGCTGAGCTAGGTTCAGGCAGCCAGGCCACCGGGAATGCCAGGGCCTGGCAGAGGGGTGCACAGGCAGACCTGATTGCTGGAGTTTGTTTCCCGACACAGAAGTAGGCCCAGCATTGATCGCAATGCTTGCCATTTGAATTTTGGATCAATTATGAGCCCTTGTTTAGAGTAAGCGGGTCCCAGATACAGCAGGGGCCATACTTGGGTTTTTTGTTTGTTTTTGGTTTTGTCATTTTGAGACAAGTTCTCCCTATGCAGTTCAGGCTGGCCTTGAACTCACTTTGTAGCCCAGGCTGGTCTCGAACTTGCAACAATCCTCCTGCCTCAGCCTCCTGAGTGCTGGGATTACAGGTGTGTACCACCATGCCCTGGTGCAGGGGCCATATTTGAAAAAATTTATTATTGTTTAACTGGAAATTTAAATGCCACTGGGTATCCTGTCTTTTTATTTCCTAAATGTGGCTATCCCACGCAGAATAGTACTGGCCAGGGATTTTCGGTGGAGTCAGCCTCATTGTACCCACTTCCTGGGGCAGAGGGAGGCCCAGGCCCTAGCTGGGAGCCCCAGGTGAGAGTCACCGAGGACTGGTCAGAAAACAAGGGGGCTGGCTTCTGAAATGCATAGGGTGGGGGCTCAGACTCCTAGTGGGGGGGGGGGGTCTTAGACTCATGGGGTGGGTACAGTCTGCCTGGAGAAGGAGGCTTAGAGTCAGTCCGCGATGGAGGAGAGTACACCGAACGTGGGGAGGGAGGGACTCACCGTTGCCCTGGGCCGAGGTAGGAGGAGGAGCCAACGGGGCAGACAAACCCCCCAGGGCAGAGTTGGGGGACCCCAGTCTGGGGTCTGCAATAGGAGCCAGCCCTGCAGGGAACTTCCGTCACAGCTCCTGAGGAAGAGTGGGCGGGGATTCGGAGAGCAGCACCAGCCACGGGTGTGGTGCGGGGACACTCCAAGTACTGTGGGCAGCTGGCAGCACCCTGGGGAAACCCTGAGCTGTGAGAACAACGCGGTCCCCGGGTGGGGCGGGTGGAGGCACAGAAGCGGCAGGGGCAGTGTGAGGACCGGAAGGGAGGAGGGGCTCTGAGTGCCGCAAGGGTTAGGGCCCAGGAGCAAAGGGGTTCAAAGGGCATGAAACTCCTCCTGCAGGTTTGGGAGCATGTTGGGGGCACACCTTGTGTGCTGCGGTGGGTACGGACAGAGGGAATATAGGTAAGGCCACCCAGGGAGGCTCTCAGATGGCTTCTGCCAGCCCCACTTGAGCTGGAGTCCCAGCTTTCTTTGTCCCCTTCCCCGAGGATGGCAGGTGGGACGGCTGAGAAGCCGAGGGCACGGCCCACCTTCGTTCCTGCTCTGCCTAGCAGCAGGGCTCTCTCACCTCAGCTGCAGGCCACACAACACTGCACTGGCCTTGCTGTTTCTGTGAAGCGGACTCGGGCAGAGGGAGCGCCAGAAGGCACGGGGGTCCTAGGGACCTGCGGGAGCCGTCACTCTGACCAGAGACTGGGTGGGTGCTTGGCTCTGGGAGGCAGCACTAGGGCAAGCAGACAGCTGTGTGCACCTATATGTACCTGTGGCCTGGGCTCACTAAAGGCCCCAAGAGCCCCTGGCCGGAGGTGCGGAAACAGCAGGTGAGCAGCGGAGGGGTCAGGGCCTGCAGTACAGGTGTGGAGGCCTCTCTGGCTCACCTGCTGGGCACTCTGACCCAGCCTGGCAGGGAGTGGGGAACACATTGGCACGGCCCCTCAGTGCGCCATCAGGGCAGTAATAGCCAGGCGGACAAAGCTTGCAGTCTTGTGGCGCAGATGCCCCTGGCTCTGTCCGAAAGGTACCAGGAGGGCAGAGGAGGGCACCCTGTGTGCCAGGACACCAGTAGCCAGGAGGACATGGGTAGTCTTCGAAGGAAGAGAGACCTGGGGACAAAAACACCAGGCAAAGCAGGAGTCCCCCTGGAGCCCTCCTCAATCTCTCTCTCCCTGCTCCTCCCTGCTGCCCACATCCAGCCTGCCTGGGGCTCTCACCTGGCCACGGACAGTGGTACCCAGCAGGGCAGGGGAGGCACTCTGCCAGGCTCTGGCCTCCTTCTTCTGCCAGGTAGGTATGTTTGGGGCAAGCCTGGGGGGCTCCTGGGTGGGTCTCATTCTCTCCAGGGCAGTAGTGGCCAGCAGGGCAGGGCTGTGCAGTCTGTGCCCCTGCAGAGTGAGGGCTACACTCACCTTCTTCCCCAGACATAGCCTCCTGGGTCCTGTGCAGGGACCAGCCCCTTCCAGGCTGTGGCTCAAGGCCGCTTACCCCAGGGCCTCACCTGCTCTGCACCAGTGCCCAGGGGGGCAGGGCCCACAGTCCTTCTTCTGCTGGGCTCCTGGGGTAGCCGTCAGGGTGTAAGGGGGACATGAGATGGGCTCTCCGCTGCCTTCTGGGCAGTAAAACCCTGCAGCATAAGACAGTCACAGTGTGGGAGAGTGCCAGGGCTCTGGGGGGACCTGGACAAGGGGGACCCTGCTGGCCAGGAGTAAGAGGTCTGAATGTCAGTCCTGGGCCTGTGGGTGTTTGTCACATCGGTCACGGCGGGTGTTGCCTGGGATGATGCTCCTGCTACATATGCATGCGTGTACACACATTAGTCAAACAACAAAAGCGTGGCTCTACCTGCTCCATCTTCACGGTCAGCAAGCGGGGCTGTTACCTGGTGGGCACTGCTCCATGCATAGATGTCCCTGGGGGCACAGGGTCTTGGACTTCCTGGAGCCCCATGTGATCACTCCAGAGGTACCAGGAGAGCAGAAGTAACCAGCAGGACACTTCCCCCACACCTGTCCACTCCTAGTTGTCAAGGAGAAGGCAGAAGGTCTGAGACGGAGGGTCCTATCTGGGCCTGGACAGAGAGGCAGCCACAAGTCCGCTCTCCACTTCTGCAGCAGGAGGAAGTAGGCTAGACCTCTGGATGAACTTCGGGAAAGAGCCTGAGGAGCCTCTGCTGCTGTCTTTTAAAAAGTGATTTGCTTTGAAGCAAGGCCACAGCTGCATAAAATGGGACAACTCTTCTGTCGATGACCCTACCGGGTCTTAGCACGGAGGTGCTTGCCTTCTGCACATGCTGGGAGCCTGCCTTGCATCCATCCCAGTGTGCTTGTGTTTCACCTGGCTTGCTGGGTACTGGGCACAGGGCCATTCAGAGAGACCCCTGAGCTTGGCTGCAGGTCTGCCCCCCAGCCCCTGTGCATGGCCTGGACAGGACAGGTAGAAGGCTGGGGATCACTGTGATTTGATACAGCCGCAGGTGGTGACTGACCTGCAGTAGTGACCAGGTGGACAGATGGAACAGTCACCCTCTTTCTGGAGGCCTGATACATCCTGGGGAGTGAAGGTCCCCGGGGGACACACAGCGGGGGACCAGGTTCCTGGCAGAGGGAGAGAAGGGAGTAAAGAGGTGCTGCACGGGCTGGGGCCACATCAGCTCAGAGATGTGCAGCTGCCACTCCTGGTCTGTCCCACCGTCAGTGTCCAGCTGTCCTGATGATGCTGGGTTTTTCACTTTGTTTCCTCGGGGCCTGTGATGGATGGACCCCAGGATGACTGTCCGTGCAGAGAAGACAAGGCCAGTGCCTGTCACAAAAGGGTAACCATGGAAGGGGGTCTTCAAAAAGCAGTGATGCTGCTGGGATGAGGGCCTGCGTCCAGCCAAGGGTTTGGGTGAGATGCCCCGTGTCCTGTTTAAACACTGTGCAGTTCCTTGCAACGGAGTTTGAAACTAAGCCAGCCTCACTTGGGAGCTACCTCCTACTCTTTCTCCTTCTCTGTTGGGATGGGGAGTGGGTAACGCTGTTTGAATGGCCAGCTCCCTGGCCCTGGCCCATCCTGCCCTGGTTACAGCCATGGCCCCAGTTCTCAGAGCATAGCCCCTAGTATTGTTTTTTTTTGTTTTTTTTTTTTTTTGTACCGGGAATTGAACTCAGGACCTTGTGCCTGCCAGGCAGATGCTTGTACCACTGAGCCATATCCCTCGCCCTGCCCCTAGTATTGTTCCTTGTTCCTTGTATTGGGATGTCCTCCGTTCCACCCATCAGCTGGTACAGGGTCTGCCTGCACAACAGGCAGTCTCAGGGAGCACCGTCATCTTTTTTGACCTTCAGATGTTCTAACATTCTGGGTAAACGTTCTCCCACATAAATGGGGGTCACGTGCCTTGGACACTTCAGGCATGAAGAACAAATATGTGCTTCTCCAAGGGTCACACAGTCACAAAAGAAACACATTCAAGAGCTCCTGGGATCAGTAGGAAGATTTCTTCCAGGTTTACCTAGGACATGAGAAGGATGCTGAAATGTGTAGATACGTATTTGCTTGCTAGGCTCTGAATGTGTGTGTATGAGCACACGTATTCATCCACACATGAGCACAGGTGTGCACACACCCACGTGTGAGCTTGTTTGTGTGTGGATCATACACGGTGTGTTCAGTGCAGCAGGACTCAAACTTGGGCAGAGCCAGCGCGGGTCCCTGTGCTCTGCTGTGGAGCCTGCTGCGTCATCGAGCCGTCGTCCAGAGCCTGCTGAGTCATCGTGCCGTCGTCCAGACCCTTCCTGTGCAGCACTTAGGCGATCTCTCCCTGGGGGCCTGAATGGGCACTGAGACGATCCGACATCTGTAGTTTCGGACTCCTGCAGCCCTTAGAAAGCAGGCAGGGCCGGGAGCACAGGTGGGCAGCAGATGAAGAGAAGAACAGTGGGCAGTGGACCTTGGACAGCCGGGGAAGGCTGGGCAGAAGTATACTCACATGGGCACCTACCGCGAGCCCAGTGCCCAGCACAGGAAGACATGACCTGGACTTGACTGAATGAACAAACAAAAGGAAGCCAGGTGGAGTGTGGGAGGAGGAAAAGAGCCTGGCGCGGAGAGGAGCTGAGGGCTTGTGCACCTACCGGCTGGGCAGTAGGCGTGGGCTGGGCAGGGCCTGGGCACTGTGCTGCCGGGATGTGGACAGTAAGAGCCTGCTGGGCACAGGAGGCAGGTATCTGAGCCTGAGGAGGGCTGGTAGTGCCCACGGTGGCATGGGGCAGGCCATGCAGCTCCTGGTTGGCAAAAGTGACCCTGGGCAGTGAACACAGAGGGCCAGCCCTGAGGTCCAGGCCAGTGGTGGCTGGGAGCTCAGCCTCTCTGGGATGAGTCAGTTCTTACCACAGCAACTGAAATGTAGAGGGTAGTTGGGGAAAGAATTGGGGTCTGGGAGATTGGGAGAGTTGGGATTCGCTCCCTTGAGGCACCGAGAGTCATCTTGAGTCCCCCAGACTGATGGCCAACCTCTAGCTTCAAGCCAGCCAGCCCCTGAGGAGGTACCTGAGGGCAGGGGAGAACTGCAGGCGCCAAGGGGTGGTCGGAGTCGGTCACACAGGACTTGGTGGCTGAGCTGAGGCCTAGGCTGGGGCAGAAGAAGCCAGCCGGACAGGGCCCACAGCTCTTCTCAGAGGTGCCGCCTGTACAGGGAAGGTCACCCTGAATCACCACCCCAGAGATGGGGCTCTTCCCTGTGGGACTCAGCCACACCTGGCTGCTAGAGCAGAGCCAGGCTCCCCCATCCCCAGGGCACTTCTGCTTTGGTGGGCTAGTGGCAGTGCCCGTATTGCCAGGTATAGCTCCTGGAGTAGAGGAGTGCCAGTCCTGGGCATGCTGTGGCCCCCTAACACCCCAGCCAGCAGGAAATCCCCTTCATGCTGTTGGTGTCAATAGGACCAGCATAGAGCACAGCTTTGAACCCCACACAAAGAAGCCACTTGGGGTCCCTTGAGAAGGGAAGGTTTTGTACAACACAGATGCTCACCAGGACTGTTTCTTGCTGTCCCCAGGGGGCAGGCCACTGGGTACAGAGTACCCTTAGGGCAGTAGTGGCCTTGGGGACAGGGCCCATTGAGGGGGAAGGCACCATTTCCCCAGGGGGTGGGGCTGGCCGCACCCCCTTTGCAGTAGTAACCAGCTGAGCAGGGTCCTTGGTGAGAAGAAGATTTGGAATTTTAGTGCACTGATAAGAAATAAGCCCTGCCCATAATAAGGGAGGCCCTTCTGTGAGCCCACCTGGTCCCTGCCACCTGCTGCTGTCCCTAACCTGGGTGCACCACAGATTACAGTGAGAAGGGAAAGGTTGGAACAACATATCACTGAGCCGCAGTGCCATCTTGGCCTGGGCCTGTGGCTTCCAGGTGGGCTCTAGTGTCTCTGCTGAAGAGGTCGCCAGTGACATGAGGACAGCAGAGAGCAGTGCCAGCAGTGCACAGGCCGAGCGGGCTGGGGCTGCGTCACTCTCCATGGCAGCCATGGGAGGTGGTGTCACTGTCATCCCACTTCCTAGGGGGAAGACTGGCCAGAGCAATCAGGGGCCTGTCCAGCATCACACATGCACGAGATACAGAACTTGGAGAGACCAGCTATGGCTCCAGAGCACCCTTGGCAGGAGACTGAGGGCTCTTGGGTTGGGAGAGAGGAACTGGAAGCAGCAGGAGGAGGTGGTGGGATGAGAAGTGGACATCGGGGATCCAGCAAGCACGGGGCAGAGGCTGCCTTCACCCTCCGTGCTGTATTATTGGAAGCCTGCTCTGAGCTCAGGGGCATTTCTCCTTTGGCTGTTCTGTCCACTGTGGGGAAGCCTTGCAGCAGGACTGTCCTCTGGCTGTTCTGCTGGCATGTTGGTACCTACCCTCAGGCTGCCCATTGCCTTCCCCTGAGCAATAACTCCCTGTAGGACAGGGCAGGCAGGTCCTGGGGGACACAGCACCTTCCCTTGGGCTCAGGGTTCCCTCTGGGCAGGGGCGAGGGGAGGATGTCCCTGCTGGGCAGTAGTGACCTGTGGGCAAAGCAGGAGTGAGAGTCGATTGTCCAGGCCTTGTGACTCTTCCCCCAACCCCAACCCCCAGCCCTCCATCTGTTTGGGGAGAAGGGCAACCCTGGGGAGCAGAAGTCACAGCCAGAGGGTGTGAGCACACCCTGGCCCTGCACCCAGGCCTGTAGGATGGTGCTCAGGTGGAGGCCCGAATATCAGGGCAGTGAGATGTGAATAGAAGTGAGTGAGTGAACATGAGTGTGTGAGACCAAGTGTGAGTACGTGTGCCTGTGTGTGTGTGAATGTACATGAATGTGTGCATGTACATGCAAGCCATCAGTCCAGGCTAGGCCTGTGCTTAGGGAAGGTGTGACAGGTGCAGCTGGCTCTACCTCTGTAGGACAAAAGGGAAGAATTTCTGGTGCTGGAGACACTATGTCACCCCAGGATTTGCCTGGAGCCAGGGACTCTTCTCACAGGCAGCCTCCTGCCCAGGCACCCAAGAGGGCTCTGGGTGTCTGCAACCAGGTCTACTGCAGACTGAAGAGCCAGCCCAGTTCCTATGGGGTCACCCAGGGATGCCCGAGTCTGCTGTGTGGATGCCTTGGGATTGGCCTGCCCTCTTCTCTCCAGCGGCCCCGCCCACTCACCCCCAGGAGCCCATGAAAAGGGCGTCTGCAGTGAGTAGGACAGTGGAACAAAAGAGGCCAGCTGGCCACCAGAATTCTTGTCCTTCCACGTGTCCAGGACAGGCTGCCCTGCCACAGACCAGAGTGGAGGGGTGCTCTGACCTGAAGTGAGTGCCCTCCATGACATTCACACACGTCCTTCCTCTGCAGCACTGTGAGCCCTGTACTGTGAGTGTGTCTGTGGAGGTAGGAGGCTGAGGTCTCATTCAACACCAGCCCTGGGGTTCAGAGACAGTGGAGCTGGAGGGGCTGTCCCCTAGGTGCCCAGTTGTCCCTGCCCAGTAGAAGTTTGGCCCCAGGGTTACCTTTGGGGCAAGCGATGGGCTGTACAGTGGCAGCCTGAGGACAGTAGGTGCCTTGTGGGCAGGCCAGGCAGGAAGCGGAACCAGGCAACGAACTGAAGGTACCAGGTTTACAGGGCAGCTCACGGTGAGCCCCCGAGGGACACTGGAAACCAGGGGGACATTGGTATCCATAGGTCCCGTTAGAGGGTGAGGGGACAGCGCTGCCTCCCAGGCAGATATATCTGAGGAAACACAACCCCACACTGGAGCTCCTCTAGCTTGCGGGGTACCCAGCCAGCCTTGAGAGCCCTAGGTTTGTGCTGGGGCAAGGCCAGTGGTGCCCACCAAGGGCTGATGGCTAAGCTGGGTGCCCTAAAACCAAAAGGGCGCTACATGTGTGGCAGGGGTTCCTCTGAGGCTTCAATGTAAAACACACTCTGGCCCTAGGGACTGGAAGTCAGTGAGCTCAGGGATAGTCCCAGAAAGGGACAGCATCCTCCAGGGAAGCGTGCTCTTCCTGCAAACACCCTTGTCCTTGTGCTACAGGACAGATGGCAGATCTTCCTTCCCCTGATCCCTGGCTTCCTGGGTCTGTGGCATCTCCATCCCTTTGGGCAACGAGGGGCAAATGTACTTCAAGCATCTCAGGCCTGTGAGCAGAGGCTGGTGACTAAGAGGGACAGATCCAGGCCTGCAGGGCTTGCCCTAGGGATTGTCTCCAGCTGTGAGATGCAGTGCTTGAGGCTGCGTCTGAGGGGTGGGATGACAGCCCATATTTTCCGGGAGTTACCCACCTTGGCCTGTGCCCCTCAGTGGGGCTGGGAGGAGCTGGGGATGAGGGTTAGTCATGAGCTGGGGTTCCTATTAGGCTCAGACTGGAACTCAGAATCACCCCCCACCAGGGTTTCCTTACCCTGCGTGGCACAGGCTGGCCTCCATGATGCTGGACATCCCAGGTTGGCTGCAGTAGTACCCCACAGGGCATGGCTGGCACTGGTCCTTGTTGTCTAGGCCAGGGGCAGCGGAGTAGAAACCAGGGGGGCATGGCAGTGGAAACCCTGTTCCCTTGGGGCAGAAGAAGCCAGGGGGACAGATGTCATTCCCAGAAAGTCCGGGGGCCTCTGCCTGTGCAACAGGGGAGAAGGAAGAGAGGATGTCCCTCAAGCCGAGGTCTCTGCCGCATACTCCATGGCTCAGGGGGACAGCGAGGGCAGGGGCCGTGTCCAGCTGAAGTCGGCTGCACGGCTGTGAGATCTGTGTGGATTCCTCCCTGACACACACTTCCCTGAGCCCATGGGGCTCTGACTTCTGGAGTCCTGGGATCCGTCCCTTTCTTCCTCTGTCTCTGCTCCCCTGGCCTTCTTCTCTCTGTGGCATTAATGTAGAATTCTCAAGAGGAAAGTCCTCTTTGTTCTAAAAGAAAGGCCTGGCTGGGAAAGGGCAAGGGTTGTGCATATGCTCCTCACCCAGTGGGCCAGTGACAAATCAGTAAACTGCCCATAGCTCTCAGCCTAACATTCACTAGGGCAGGACTGCCGCTTCTTGCCATGTGATCTGGAGCAGCCCAGTGCCCGGAGCCCCCAGTTTCTTCTTCTGCAAGGCAGGGCTCTCTTTGGGGATGCTCAGCGCACTGGTACTTGCTCAGGACGTGCCCAGCTGGGAGCAGAGGCTTGTTCCTGCTCCTCCTGCCACGAGTCATCACCCCAGGATGCCATCTAGTGGAACACGAGCTATTATCTCACAGAGGACTGAAAAGGGGGCGACCCCTGCCACTGTGACTGTCAGACCCACAATTTTAGGGGTGTTAAATGCAAAGATGCTTATGTCAGCCCCAAAATCCATGGGATGAGCTATGTGGGCCCTGTTCCAGGACCTGGGAACAGGAAAGTGAGAAGACACCTGCCTTCAGAGATATAATCTTGCGGGAGGGAAAAGCTCTGGCCAGCTTTGTGGTCCTGAGCCCATGCACAACTAGGTGAGCCTGGGTGGACCCACTCCTGTGTGGGCTGCTGAATCCAGCACTACCTACTTGGTGTTTGATGGGGGTGGGAGACATGGCACCCCCTGTGCAGTAGTGAGCAGAGTGGCAGAGACCCGATGGCTGAGGTAGCCCTTCTGATGAGCAGAACATCCCTGGAAGGAAAAGAAACAGGTGGGGCAGGTGAGCGACCCCTCTTCCTCTCCTTCCTGCTCCATCAGAGACCCTGATCCTCTGGGCTATGCTACCTACACTTCCTTCTCCCTCTGCTCTCCTTCCTCAGTGCTCCCTCTGAACTCCACCCTAACCCCCCACCTGTCTGCATTTCCTCCATCAGCCTCTCTATCTGCACACCTGCCCCTAGACCCCCCATATAGCTGCAACCTCTCCACTTGCACTCGCATCTCCTTCCAGCCTTAGGGCCCCAGGTGAGGGAGTGAGGGGCAGGAGGGGCTCTCCAGCAGCACCTGGTCTTGCCCTGAGCCCTTGAGGTGAATGTAAGGCAGGTGTGGGTGCAGGGGAAGGGGAGGTTGTGGGCATCCAAAGGGTGATCGGGTCAGCAAGCCCGTTGTGTGCCCCAGTCCACATCTGGGGCACCGACTTGGCATCCTTGACCCAACTGTTGGGCTCTGGCTGCTACCCACAGAGCAGACGCATCCTGTCTTGCTTGCCTGTCTCCTCACCCTCCCATTCATTCTCTCTTCACCCTTCAGCCTAGGGCCCCAGAGTGCCCATAGGAACAGAGTCCACAAACCTGCTGGGCATGGCTCACAGTCCAGCTGTGCAGTGGCCCCTTGCTTGGGCCCGAATGTCCCTCGAGGACATGGGTGAGCAGTGGCCGAGTGCGAGCCAGGGGGACAGAAGTAGCCCTGAAGACACAGGCTGGGGCCACGGGCTGGCAGGTCTAGGGGGCAATGGGACCATCAGCCTGACTTGAGGTGAGATCTGACCTCTGAGCATCATGGGTCAGAGACCAAAGAACCCTGATTCTGAACATGCCCAGGCCTACCCCCTCAGCCCAGGTGATGGCTTCTTTGTCTAATTTCTGGGTGTGCTGACTGGTGCAGACTCATGGCTGACCATCTGGGAGGAGATCTACGGCCCAGGAAACCTGCTGGTCTTGAGAGGCACTGGCCCCTGAACATGTGTTCCTCTTCCTGAGGGTATAGCACAGAGCCAATGCCAAACTGAGTGTGACCTTGTCCAACTAAATCTCTGGTCCCAGGGTTCAAACTATTCTGCCTTTTACTGCACTCACGTCCCACTATGCCCAGACCCAGGCTGGGCACTGTGAAGTTCAAAGGTGCAGGGGACAGAGGCCCCATCCTGGTTTAGGCACCCAACAAGTTCTCTCCTTGCACCCAGTTCGGAACAAGGACCTTGTGTCCTGTGGACCATAATATTCACCTGTACAACTAGGACAAGCAAGGTTCTGGCCACCAACTTCCTGAGAGGGCCTGGGGCCAACCCAGAACCCACCTGCGCTGGAGGCTTCACAGTAGAAACCCGCAGGGCAGGGCTCACAAGAACCCTGTGCCTCCTGGGGCTGGAAGGTTCCCTTCTCACAGCCCCTTGGCTGTGTAGATCCCTCAGGACAGTAGAAGCCACTGGGGCACCGGAAAGACTTGGGGGTAGCCGAGGTCTGGCCAGGGGGACAGTAATATCCGGCTGAGCATGGCCCATCTGGAAAGCGCTTCCCAGGCCCTGTGGAAAGAATTGGAGACAGGCCCTACCTATCCAGGACAGCAGGCCTGGCTTTCGTGAGAAGGACACAGTGGCCAGGGTCCAGCCGATGATAGGAGAAATAGAGTTCAAGGCACGAAGCTTTGGAGCCTGATGTCTCCTCCTGGCTCTGTGGCCCCTCCTGGCCCATGTCTGCTCCTAGCTCCATGTTCTCACCTGGCTTTGTCCCCTCTTGGCTTTTCAGCCCATCCTGGCTCTGCAGCTCAGTTCCTCTGTGGTTGAAAGGAGTAGCTGATCACATAGGCACTGACGTGAGACCCTAACACACAGGCCAGGCCGTGTGGCTGGAGTGAGAAGGGTATGGCCCCATGTAACTGATAAGCAATACCTCAAGTTTTCAACCTGATTCTGGTATGACATGTTCATGCTGCTGGGGGCCCCTCAGAGTCCAGGGACAATGCGGAGAAGTGCCACCTCACCTCTCACAGCAGCACCCACCTGTACGTTTGTTCCAGGTGGTTTAAGTACAGATGGGACAGACAGACGAACAAGTACCCATCACTCTCTCCTCTCTCCACCACCATCTCCACTACGCCAGTCCTCCCAGTCTCAGGCCTAGTTTTTGTGGGGCCCCCTGCCGTCCTGCCCCTGTTTCCTGTGGCTGCACCCCTGCTCAACTGCAGTGCTAGGGGAGTGCCATCTGGATGCCTGTATCTTCCCCCTGCTTCCAATCCACCAACATCCGAGGTCACCTTGAAGCCCAGAGGAACTCCTCCACATCAAGCTTTACCCACACCATGGCATCCAGGTCACTCTCCCCAGGACACCTGAAGTTGGAATGTCTAGTCTGGGCCCTAGCACAGCCTCTGCCTTCTTCAGGCCCCTTCCTCACTGTGAGCTCCTGTTGCCTTTTACATGGGGCTACAGGTCCAAGGAAACTGCAGCGTTTTCTGCAAGCAAGGCCGGAGTCTGTGTCAAATGGACCAGTTAGGGGTGCGGTAAAGTCCAAGAGAGATGCACTGGTCACCTGAATCAGCACAGAATTGTCCTGCAGGACAGGGTCTACAGTCCTTAGCGCTGAGTGCCCCTGGCCTCTCTCGGAAGGTGCCCCTGGGACATGGATGCTGGGTTGGGCTCTGAGTACCCGGAGGGCAGTAGTAGCCAGCAGGACAGTCCACTGGCCTCACAGGCCTGGCTCCTTGCCCCTTGGTCCCTACAGGACAGAACCTGTGGACAAAGTGGGTAGGGGTCAGTCTTGTGGAGTTGGTACCATTCATACTTTGTTTACAGGAAGTGAGGTTCCCCTAGAGACGGCAGCTTCTCAGACCTGGATGATTTGGGTAGAAGCAAAACCCTCAGAGGCCCCCCCAAAAGGTGGAGGAAATGGACACCTGGTGGGAAGTGGGCTCCAGATTTTTTAGTATTTTGCATGAATCTACTAGCCCCCACTTTCCCAAGGTTCTGCATTAGTTTTGGGGTTTTTTTGTTTGTTTGTTTTGAGACAAGGCCTTGATATTTATGCTAAGGCAGGCCTCAAACTCATGTCCTTCTGCCTTAGCTTCCCGAGTGCCGGGATTACAGGTGAGCACCACCCTGCCTGGCTGGCTTTGGAATGTCAATGGCACTGGGCTTCGCAGGCTACAGAGGGCTGTGGTGCCCATGGTCAGTGAGCACTGTCTGTGATGGCCCCTGAGACCTGTGCGAGCCTATTCTAGTCTTGGGGAGGGTGGGAAAGCTGTGTCAGCAGGTAGACTGGTACAGCCCTGGCCCTGGAGATGTTTCTTACTTCCCCGCAGGGCAGGTCTTGCAGAAGCTCTGTCCATGTTCATCCTGATACTGCCCAGGGGGGCAGGGCTGAGGCTCCAGGCTGCCAGAGGGGCACCAGTGCCCAGGTGGACAGATGGTGTCTAGAAAATCAAAGGGAGAGGGCTGTTTCTTTCTTGGGCCTTACACTTCCTCTCACCCAGAACCCAGCATTGCCCTCCATGCCAGTGTGGCTGAGTGGACAGAGTCCCGTATGACCTAGGACACCCCTGGCTGTCCTGCTACCCCTCTGAGGATGAGTGTATCCTCCCTTCTCAACTCAGTCCCATGGCTCCAATGGAGGGGAGGAAGCTCCAGCCATAGACCCAGTCTGAGTATTAGGGCCGCATGGAAACTCTGAGGCTTGGGTAGAAGGAGCCAGGTCAGCAGTGACCAGGGATGTGGTTGGAGGCTTCTGGGGGAGCATGAGGTAGATTCCATCTTCCAGGCTAGAATATCTCTCACTACACTTGTTCCCAGGGCTATGAAATGATCCTCTGAAAGTGGATTTCTTGGGCACATGCTGTTTGGGGTCAGCCTCCTGGGATACCTAACCTGTCCTCACATTGAGCCCCAGCAGCAGAGAAGAGCCCTAGCTCAAAGCTGGGTTTCCCAGCAACAGAGAATACTCTAGGAGAAGAAGTGTGACAGGGTGGGTCAGAGGCCAGCACCCTGCACCCATATGCTGGGGGACAGAGCTGTCTCCATCTGTGCAAACACAGCACCCCGTTTGTTGCTTGCAAGACACTTCATGAAACTCTCTGGAGGTCCTGGCCTAGAGGAAGGGCCAACACTTCCACTTGTGGGGTGGGACACGCTCCCCGTGGTTTCCCTGTGGTGGCTGCCTTTGTTTTAACCTGGAGCCTCTCTTCATGAGGCCATACTCTGGTGCTGTGAGGAGGGGGCTAGGTGACACCTGGGCCTAAGTGCTCTGGGCTCTCTGTGCCAGTGTCTGGCAGCACTGTTCTCAGCAATTGCTAAATGTGCAGGACACAGCTGTGTTGTCCCAGGCGTGGCTCACTCAGGGATTTCGCCTCCTACACACAGCTGACCGGATTTGCACCTCCACTTCCTGCTGGCCTGACCTGCCTCCCTGGCTCCGCCTGAGTTGTGCAGGCATCATTTGGATCACCTATCCCATCCAGCCTCAGGCTCCTCCAAATCTGTTAAACAGCTGGCTGGACGCCACTGCAGCTTTGTCCTCCCTGAGGCACTCAGCCTTTGTGTCCCACAGACTTTCTAGCTGTGTTCCCTCTCAGTCCCAAACTTCTAGGATGATAAACACAGTAGTGGTTCTCAGGCCACACATAAGTTCCAGAAACTGGGTGTAATTTCATCACTTTTTCCTTTGATACAAGAAATCATGTCAGAATGAGACCGGGCCAACTTTCAATCCATTCTGACTGAAAAAAGGAAAGAAACTCTGGACACTGTCACTAGTACAGTTACTTTTATACCTTAAAGCAGATACAGCCAACCTATGCAGGTGGAGATCTGCGGGCTATCAGGTGACATAAGCAGGAGCTTGTTAGCCTGTGGCCGTCTTTGTACTTTGAGTTCCTACTTACAAATTGCATCCATAGTTAGTCACAGACAAACTGAAAGCTAATTTAGGAATCTACTTTTTGGTAATAAGCTAGGTTTTAGCCAAGCACAAGCAACCAGTACATCAAACTGTGCCCAAATAAGGCAGATGCCAGGCTGTAGCCAGCTGGATGACTTTTCTATGTTCCCTCTGAGTCTGGGCTGCAGAAACTAGCAGTGCATGGTACTCGGTGGAACACGGAATGTCTTCTGGTTCTGACCCCCGACCAATTCATGAAACATAAATTACTCAAATAAACTGCTAAAGTTGATTCACCTAAAGTTTTCCCTTTCATAGGCCCCAGAAGACAGCTAAGGGGAGCTTGGAGCCACCTTCATCCTCGGGGTCACACCTTCTCCTCTTCCTGATTGGCTTGTGTCTTACATGGCCCTTCAGTAATTTCATTTCTTCCTCTATCTCTTAGTGACTTCCTTTTTAAATTTTTAAAAATTTTTTTTGTCTTTTTGAGACAGGATTTCACTATGTAGTCTAGCCTAGCCTCAAACTCACTTTGTAGCCCAAGCTGCCCTCAAACTCTCAGCAATCTCCCTGCCTCAGCCTCCCGAGTGCTGAGATTACAGGTGTGTGTTACCACACCTGGCGTTAGTGATTTCCATTTAAGTGCTTCCTGGCTCTCCCTTTCCTTTTCCTCACCCTGGGAGTTTCCATCTCTCTTCCTGAGCTTCGGGTACAACAGCCTCACCGACCACAGTGTTTCCCGCCTCATGCACATCAGTCCAGGAGCCAGACAAGCTGAGTTTAGCAGGAGCCCACAGCCCATCTCCCTCCAGGACATCCCACCCTTTCCTCCCTGGGAGTGGGGCAGAGGGTCTGCCCTTACCTGGACTGTGCCCGGAGACAGAGGCCCTGGGGCAGTACCAGCCTCCTTCACACAGGGCCTCCGGGGAGCTCAGGCCGGCCCGGGAGCAGAACCAGCCTGCCAGGCATGGCTGACAGTCCTCCACCAACATGGCACCCGGGATGGGGAGGAAGGAGCCTGCGGGAGCATGGGCTGTGGCTGGGACAGAGAGCTCCCGGATGGAGGCCCAGGGCTTGTCCCAGGGGCTGGAGCCACGACCCTGCTTGCACCTGCTTATCCTCCAGTTGGGGCACTTTGATTGCCTCTGACTCCCCTTCTAACACACTGGGCCAGGCTCAGCCCAGACCCTCTTCCATGGGAGCCTAGGCCCAGCTATGGATTGTCCTGGTACCTCTGACCTCCCCACACCACACACTGCATGGATGTGTGGTAGAGTGCTCCACAAGGACAATTTGGGGTTTTCTTTTGTTTCCCTCCCCAGGGGACCCTTGAGGGCCACAGTTCCCCTCTCCTCTCAAGAGCCCAGAGCAATGTCACCCATCAGACACCCACCAGGGACACATGGAACTGGTTGGGGGCTGCCCCAGGGGCAGAAGTGGCCTGGAGGGCAGAGGTCTCCTGTGATCCCATCTGTGGGATTCTGGACAGATGCTCCATGAGTGCAGTAGAACCCAGCACTGCAGGGCCCTGATGGGGCCACCAGCCCAGGCAGGAGACAATAGGATCCTGGAGGGGATGACAGGATGTCCTGGGGTTGTTGTGGAGGGCTTGGGCATTCCCCTACCACAGGGCTGGTCTGTTAAAAGGCCCTGGACTATGGCCCAGGCATCCCCATCACTGGTCAAGAAAGGTGTGGCCCAATGTGGCCATGGGAGGGGAAGGGGCCTGGGTGAGTGTCAGCTCTTACCTGGCTCACAGGGGGTGCAGTCTGACTGCTGGACAGCCCCTCTCTGTGGATTGTATGTGCCCCGGGGACAGGGGAACTGTGAAGCGAAGGCGGTAGAGGCTGGGCAGTAATGACCAGTGGGACACTCATTCCCCACTATGGAGGAGGTGTTGGCTGGGCAGAAGAATCTGCAGGAAGGAGAGAGAAGGAGGGGCTGGCTGACCCCTGCAGCCTGATCTGTACTGCCTCTACTTGTTTCTTCCAGGGTTGATACTTTGCTAAGCGTTCAGCTCTGGCACAGAGCAATGCCCAGGGGAGGGTTTGGGATTAAGGAAGGTGAAATGGTTTCAGTGGCAGAAAAAGAGTCTCAGGTTTGAAATAAGGAATGACCCAATGATATCTAAAGAGATCAAAAGCCATAAAGACAGATGGCCCAAGGGGAATCAGAGAAATTCTCCTGTGACTTCTTCGTCACAGAAAACAGGTTGATGGAGTCTGAGTCAGCCCCTGGCCACTTCTTGCAACAGGAATGCCAACTTTAAGTCCAGAGACCAGGGATCCTTCTCGTCACTCACCCTTGGGGACATGGTTCACAGCAGCCCTGAGCAATCCGGGTATTATAAGTGCCTGCTGGGCAAGGCTTTGGGGAGACTGTGCCCAGGGGGCAAAAGTGTCCTGAAAGGGAAGCAGACCCTTGAAGTTAGGTTGATGGCAGCCCCTCTCTCCGATGCTCAGATCAGCCCCAGTCTTTGCCCTGGTTCTATGGGCCTGGAGTACAATTGTTAGTCTCTCAGGGCCTGTGGTGCCTATATGGGGGCAGAGACGGGGGACCTGAGCTATGTGGCTTTGGAGTCTTGTTCTTTCCTCACCTTCCCAGGTTCCTCCTCTGCTACCTTTACACTAGAACATACCTGCAGGGCATGGGCCACCGGTCCCATCTTCTATGGTTCTGTTTGGAGTGATGGACCCTCCAAGGCAGAAGAAGCCTTCACTGCAGGGTCCAGAAGGGTATGTGAGGCCAGCAGATCCACAGTAGTGGCCGGGCAGGCACAGGGAGCAGGCAGCCTGTGGGAGACGTCCCTGAGAACGCACAATCCTGGCTCCCACCAGGACGGGGAAACTGGACCTGCCCACTATAGCCTACCTTCTCCACTTGCAGCCCCCAAAGGCATTCATGCCTTTCTGGAACACTGTCCAGAGTGGGTACCCACATCCTGTAGGTTGTCCCCTCTCTGCAGTAGCTTCAACTCCCAATCCAAAGGGCCAGAAATTCACCCTCCAAACTCCGCCAGCATGTTGTCCCTGCCTTTTTTTCCTTTTGTGTCTGATTTGATCAATCCAGCAGGAAGCACCCACTCTCACGTTGTCTGTGACAGCCTCCCAGGCATCCTGCCCTCACAACACCCCCCCGTATACATGCCCTGGGAGCTTCCAGCCTCATGTATACTGCTCATACTTGTTGGGAACTGCTCCATGACTATACCGAAGTTATCAAAAGACAGGCTCCCTGGCTGTAAGATGTTTATATTTTAGTGGAGAAAACAGAAAATAAAAAGTCCAATAGGTAAAACAAAAGTGAATTTATGCTGTGTTGTGTGCTCAAGAGGCCAGAGCTGGCCTCCTTGAGAAATGACCTTGGGCAAAGACTTGAGGAAGGACGGTATCTAACCAGGCGGCCCCTATCTCCAGCCCTCTAGTAACATTTGACCTTGGGGACGGCATATTTAGGCCAAATCTAAATATTCCCTCCTCCCCCGCACCTGGCCTCTTCCTGGCTTGGGGTCTCCCTACCTCTGAGCCAAGCTTGATCCAAGGGTTGAAGGTGCCAGGGGGGCAGGGCTGGGGCCCAGCAGAGCCTCTTGGGCAGTAGTGTCCCCGAGGACAAGGGCCAGCCTCCTCTGGAAACAAGACACAGATCAGCCTGGCCACTGGGAGAGCAAAAGGAGGTAGATGCTCCCAGTAGATTCCCCTGTGTTCCTGGTATGCAGTCTGGAATAGACAATTGAACTGCTAGTTCTGAGGATACTGAGGCGGGGGCTCCTTCCCCAAGGCCACACTTCTGCGTCTACTTATTCACACTGCACCCATGCTACTGGTAATTTTCTGACCAAAGACCCTCTGGGGATGTGGGGGACAAACCGTGTCAGCTGCAAGTGGGGGCTGGCTAGATGCTCTCTAGATGTCCATTCCTGATTCTGGTGTCAGGCCTGTGTAGACACCCTGTGTGAGCTAGTGTTTCCATGTTCCTCAGAGACACTCAAAGTAGGATAGGTCTGAGTTACCTGGCTATGCTTTCTCCCCTGCTCTCCCTTGCCCTATGTGGACCATGCTCCAAGAGGCCACTGGATGGCTGAGGTCAGGAACCTGTTGCTTTCTGGCTCTTGCTAGGCAGACCTGACCCTCAGAGCTGGGGGATAAGCTATGCATTGAGAGAATTTCACCTGCCAGAGTCTTGTATAACTTGGGGCCCAAGGGGGCTGCAGAATGGCAAAATGCTAGAACAGGGTCAGTGGCCCTGACACTCGGCTAGTGACTGCGTGGGTGACCTTAAGCAGGGCCAGCCTTCCTCCCGAGCCTCAGTTTTCTCATGTGCCAGAGACAGCAATTGGATAGGAGCACAGGAGTAGGTCAGGAGTCCAGGGGCTCTATGGGACACACGAGAAGCTCTGTGTGCCTGGCTGTGGTTTCTGGACCATGTCCATGGATTTCAAAGAGAACATGACCCCAGAAGGTTCATACCACAGCAGGGATCCCTTGTCTACACATGAGAACCACTGCAAGCCTCACAGACTGACCATTTCTAGCTGGTCCTTCCCCAGATGCTCTGCCTGGATGTCCCTATCAGCATGTGACTCAAAGGCACAGCCTGGCTGAGAACTTCTGCCCCATGATCCCTAAGGTAGCTGGCTGGAGATGGCTTGGCGCTGGTTCAGCCTTGGAGGTACTGTGGGGAGTGGACACAGCCAGGGCTCTATTCATCCTTTAACCTCCCTGGGCCAGTGTCCTGCCACCATGCACAGAGAACCTGGTAGCGCACAGCCCAGGACAGGAGCTCAAGGTTGTGAGAGAGGACAAGTCAGTCTCTTCGGGTTGACCAGTGAGGGGTGGGGGATTCTGAGCTCACTCGTCTCCTAGTTGGGAGCCTCAGGAAGAGGTGGGTCTAGTACCTTCAGTGCTAGGCTCCGGGTTGGGTCGGGTAGAGCCCCTGGTGCAGAAGAAGCCCTCCCAGCACTGCCCAGCAGCTTCTGTTGCGTTGGCTTCTGGACAGAACCTGCCCCCACCACAGATGTGACACCCCTGCAGGGTGCTCAGCCCAGGCTCAGGGCCGTAGGTGCCTGGAGGGCAGGGCTTCCAGTCCAGGCCTGTGCCTTTGGGGCAGTAGAAGCCTGTGGAGGAAGCAGGGTCCAGGAGGAGGGCTGGGAAGCTGGAGGGAGGTGAAGGGAACTTGGAGGATTCCCTGGCTGGGGAGGCTGGAGACCCTAGGCTTTGGATGTGAGTGCTTTGGAATGCAGGAGTGATGGCATCTGCTGGGAACATGCAGTCCAGGCCTTCGGGTGCTCAGAGGCTAAAGCGAGGTCTGGGGACACTGGGATCAGGCAGCCAGACTCTGGGAGTACACTAACCTCTGGGACACGGCTGTGGCCTCATCCCTGGAACACAGTAGTGCCCCTGGGGACAGACGAGACATTCTGTTGTGTGAGTGCTGGAGATGTAGGAGCCAGGAGCACATGGAGTGGGGTCTGCAGTTCCCCCAAAGCAGAAGCATCCAGTGGGACAGGGCCTGGCAGGAAGATGCTCTGTGGGAGTGGCAGGGACTGTTCCTCCTGTGCAGGGTACACTGGAAACATGTGGGGCAATAAAAGGGCCACAGTTGAGGACAGTCCTCGAGGAGCACACAGAACGGGAACAAGGGTGCTGGCTTTGGTGACAGATGTGGGGACCCTGCTCAGGCCCCACCCATCTGGGCTGGGACCCTCTTCTTGTGCCCTTTCCTCAGGCGCCCCCTCATAGTCTCTGTCCTCCAGCCCAATCCTTCTTAGCATAGGAGGTGGCAAGGATGTGGGTGGAACACTGGAATCCTCTCAGTGACCCTGTTTGTAGGCACTGGGTCCCCAGGGTGGCCTGGTGGTGGGGTGGACTCTCTCTGGCTGATCTGGAGGGATTTTTTCCCTTGCTCTCTGGCTGGCCCAACCCCAGCTGGAACCAACTCCTGCCTCTGGGGACAAAGCCCCCTGTCTAGGTCTGGGAGTGTAGAGGAGACAAAATGTGTACCCACCCTGAGTGGCAAAGTGCTGGCCAGGCTGGTAGGTGCCTCCCAGGGCAGAGCTGTCCTTCAGAGCACTGTTGGCATCCTTCTAGGACTCTGGTACCTTCCACAGACCAGGTACCAGGTGGGCAAGGGGCTGGGACTGGTGCTCCTGCAGGGTCAGGGAGGCTTGGGAAAGCGGCCGGGTATCCCCAACTCCTGTGCTCTGGACCTCTCCCTCCTCAGAGACCAAGGTAGAAAAACTTCCCCCAGCCTCCAGAGGACAGACCCTTTAGCTCCGGAGCAATCGGTACCTTCCCTAACTGAACACAGCTCTGTTCTGTGGTTTTGTTGTGGGAAAATAAAAGCCCTGGGAGCTGGAGAGTAACCAGTCCTGGATAGGCTCTGGGGTAGGAAGTGGCCCAGGCACGAAGGGGAGAGGAGGGACAAAGCATGGAGAAGCCTGCGACTCAGTAGAGTGTCCCAGGTCCACATCTGGGAGGCTTTCAGGGACAGCAGCGTGGGCCTTGCTGGAGGACATGGGAGGAGATGGGCCTGGCTACAAGGCAGGGCTGCTGTGACCTGTGCTGGCAGAAGCTGGGGGAAGCAAAGGGTTGGCAGGAGAGGGGTGTCTACCGTGGCTGGGAGTGGGGAGATACCCTTGAGACAGTAGTGCCCGGGGGGGCAGAGGAGGCCCTGGTTCCCGTCAGTGGGGTCCTTGCTGGCAGCTCCTGCCTTGCACCAGTGTCCCGCAGAGCAGTCCCCTGGGGAAAGGGGTGCGTCTTGTCAGTGTTGTCCCAAGAGTCCTCGAGTAGGGCTGCTCAGTCTTTCTCTGCAGGCTGGCCACAGACACAAGGGCAGCCTAGCACGGAGCCTGGCCTGAGGTCGCGGGTTCTGAAGGGTCCTTCTTCCTGCATCAGTCGGCAATGGGCTCCCACTAAGGATTTAAGGAGTCAGCCCAATTTGCGGGATGACTTCCTCAGAGACTACCAGGCTTGCATATTCCTTAGGGGTCCAACGTTGCCAGCCGTTTCACACAGGAGCCACACAGCATGCCAAGAAAGTGATCTAAACCCTTGGATTAACTAACTGTAGGGCGGAGACTAAGACTCCTGGGCAGAACGCAAGCTCTGCTGGCTAGTGCAGGGGGCAATCTTGTGAGAATGGAGCCTCAAGGGAGGCAGGAAGTGGTGAGGGGTTCCCAGACTAGGCGGCATCCGAAGCTCCTAGAGATTTCTCTAGAGCCAGGCACTGAGGCCCAGCCCTGCGGTGTGGGCTGGCTTAGTCACTCCAAGTGTGGGTGAGGGAAGGGTGTGCACGAGTGCGCCATAGCCAGTCCTGCCCCACACACCTGTGCTGCTTCGTGGTGTGGGCTGAGGAGCTTCTCCTGGGGCCCCTCCCCGTCACCTGGACCCCAGCCAAGGACCTTGTGTGTTTGTACCTGTGGGAGCTGTGAGCCCGGGCTGTGCACAGAATTTCCCAGCAGGGCAAGGCTGGCATTCGGTCACATTCATCAGCCCCTTCTGAGCTCCGAAAGTGCCTACTGGGCAGCTGTGCTGTGTGGCCTTGGCTGTGCCCAGGGGGCAGTAATACCCTTGAGGACACGAGTACAGGCTGAAGTCCTGGATGGGCCCGGCACTGGGGTCACAGTAATAGCCTGGCAGGAGTGAGGGGCAGTGAGAAGGAAGAATTGCCCCTCCTCAAGGCACACAGTCCTGGTACCATCTCCTGTCTCCAGGCCCCCTGGGGCCACACCCTGAGCCCAGTGTCCAGAGAGCTGCTTCTGGCCCTCATCACTCTTTTCCTTCCCACAGTCCAGGCCTTCCCTCCTCTTACCTGCAGGGCACTGGCCACTGGGGCCCTGAAGACCAGCCTCCCTGCAGAAGAATCCTGGCGGGCAGCCCTGGCAGGCAGATGGTACGGACTGCTTGGGGAGGCTGGAAAATGTGCCAGCGGGACATGGCATGGGCCTGTGAGACCCTGCAGCTGAGGGCACAGGGAGGACATAAATGTAGGGACAGAAACTCCATACAGTCAGCAGGAATGCACCTGACTTCAGAGCACTGAATGGGCCATGACCCACAGACCTGGAAGATCCACTGCTGCCCACCATCAGCTGGGCCTCTCTGGCCTCTCTGTGGCACACAGAGAGATGCCAGACTCTTTCCCGGAGGCTGCAGAAGACTCACCAGCACTCAGCCCCTGGAGAGCTGACCAGGCCCCATGTGCAAGCTGGCCACCATCAGTGGTCCTGCAGCTGTCCGTAGCAAACCACTTCAACCACAGCAAAGGCTCAACCTGACCTTTATCCACACTGTCTACAAGGCTCCTCCTCACTAGCCTCAGTGCCAGTGGACACCTCTCCTCCCTCTGTTTACTCCCCACAACCCCAGAGGTCTAAGCAAACAAGCAAGGAGGCCTACCTGCTGTTCAGAACCAGCAGGGTGGCTCAGGCTGAGAGGAGCCCAAGGAGGTACTCACTGCAGAAGGATCCCGGGGGGCAAGGGGCCCCTGTAACACCATCCTCAGGAGCTGGGGATGCAGAACCTCCTGCACAGAAGTAGCCAGCCTGGCAGGGCCCACTGGGTGTGGAGAGGCCTGGGGGTGAGAGGGAGCTGGACTGATTCAATTCATTCAGAATGAGGTTGGAGTAGGAATCAGTCTTTGGAGGACTCGGGTGTTGGAGTTCATGGCAGGGACTGAGAGGCACAATGATAAAATTGTCTACGCCTGGTGCTGAGTCAATCGGGTCTTGAGGTTGTGCTGAGCCTGGGTTTAGCTCTAGTCCAGTGCCTAGACTCTGCTGAGTTTTGAATCCCGGAGTGAGTCTGTGCTAAGCCTTTGTGTTGTGCTGGTACTGAGCCGGTAATGAGCTTGCTCAAGCGGGTCCCAAGTCTGCTCAAGTGTGTCCATGCCCACAGCAGTAGCTGGTGTGCTCTGTTGAGTCCTCTGCTGAGCCCTGTGTTAAACCTGTGCTAAGCCCTGTGCTGAGTGTTCCCTATCTTTTTTTTTTTTTCTCACTAAACCCAGTGACACAGCGACTACTCAGTCATAGAACCTGGGCTCGTCGTCAGGCAGTTGCAGAGCTGTAGACTCAGCATGGGGTCTTAACTTACAGAAATCTGCAGGGCACAATTGGTCCTTACCAGAGGTGGCACAGAAGGAACCTGGTGGACAGGGCATGGGTTCTGGGCTGCCTTTGGGGCAGTAGGAGCCCGCGGGGCACTTTCCTCCTGTGGCCGTGGCTGGGCACAGGCAGTTGGTGCTGGTGTAGTTGTCCAGGTCGAAGGGTCGGGCAGTCCACGCCGCCAGCACACAGAACCAGCCTGAGGTGGGAACCAGCAGGGTGGGCTGTATGCTGGCCCCAGGGGTTAAGGCTGAGCTCCCAAAGCCACAGGCCCAGCCCTCCCAGCAGCTGCTTGGGTTATAGTCCAGCTGACCTCAGACCTGGAGCATAAACGGGAGGCAGACTGCTGAGCAGGGACCAATGAAAGAGACTCACCTGCATCGCAGAGTCCTGAAGCTTGGGTCAGATTCTCCTGCCCGCAATAGTGGCCTGGGGGGCAGGGCAGGCAGCTGTCCAGGCTGTGAGTCAGTGCATCTGGGTTATAGTAGCCCCGCGGGCAGGGGAACTGGGTGGTGTACTTGGTGCCTGAGAAGCAGAGTTGAGAGGAGGGAGCTCTCTTCTCCCAGCACTGAGGCTAGAGTCCTCTCCCTGCTCCCACACCATGGTCCTTGGGGAGGTGTGGCCCCCATGCACACCTCGGGGGCAGTAGAAGCCAGGGGGACAGGGGTGCTCCCTGTAGTCGGTGATGTTCTCGGGACAGTAGTAGCCGGCAGGGCAGGTGAAGCAGGAGGCCTGGCCAGGGAGGGAGCCATAGGAGCCAGCAGGACAGGGCAGTGGGAGGCTGGTCCCCCGGGGGCAGAAGTGGCCCCGGGGACAGGGGCCTCCATGCTCTGAGAGGCCTGAAGGGGAAGAAAGCTGCATGAGATGAAAAAGCGCATGCTTACACATACGTGATGTCCCTGGAGCCTCCGAACAGCCACCTCGTGGAAGTGCAGGAAGACTGATGGGTCTTCTCAGGATGAATCCTGAGATGACAGGAGAGGAGCAGCAGGCTTTCCCCAGCTCTGCCCAGGCTCACAGCCGCTTTCTGCTGTCCCTGCTGGGCCTCTCTCCAGGACTGCCCTGTGACCACTCACTTTCCCAGAAGCTGCCCTAGAGGATACAGCCTTCACTTGTGTTCACGCAGGAGGCCAGTTCTGTCTTGGGCTCTTGTCCTAGCTGAGCAGCTCCACCGGGCATGGTCTCTTGCCCTCTAACTGCCCACCACGGCTCCTCAAAACTTCACACACTGCCATGGAGCAGAATGTGTGCCTCAGAGGTTTTCTGAACAGTGGACATGGCAGAGAGTAGGGATTCAAGGGCCCTGGCCCAGGCTCAGCTGCCTTCCCAAAGGCCTAGTGCCTGAGAAACAAGACTTCACATGCAACCTGGCGGATACCCCTGGCATGTGGAAACACTGGGCAAGGAACCTCCCCAGGAGACAGCCAGGTGCCACTAGCGTCCAGACACCAGGCTGGGGTCTGGTCCCTTCAGCACTCCCTGCACCTTGCAAGGCTTACAGGTCTTTCCTGGGTGCATGGGGTCCTACCTCCCCACAAGGTCCCACCGTGACAGCCCCATGGTCAGGCCAGCCCTTTGGTGGCCCACAGGGCACCATGTAGTTCCCACTACTAGACAGATCCCCAGCCTCTCTACCCACAGCAAGCCTATGCCAGATTCAGGGCCTGGGTGGCACAGAGGTGCACGCTGGGGATACAGGTGTGACTGTGGCAGGTGGACACAAGTCACACTGCTGCTGGAGCCCAGGAGCACTAGTCCCACAGTGAGACCGCTTGGCCAAAGCTCATGTCTGGTCTCCGCTCATGTGTTCCTCTTTCCTCAAACTGTGCAATATGCAGCTATCCCCAAGGATCAGGGGCCTCGCCAAGGTGCTTCCCCACTGCTGGGTACCTGGATGGAGCAATGCAATGCCGAGCCTGTCCTGACAGGATCCATACCTGTTGGGGTTGGGGAGGAGACTCCCACCAGACAGAAGTAGCCAGGGGCACAGAGTCCTGAGGGGGCAGTGAGGCCGGATGCTGCGCAGAAATGTCCAGGGGGGCAGGCCAGGCACTCAGAGGCCTTGGAGAGGAACATCCTGGGTAGACAGAAAGAAACCTAGAGATGGGCCAGGAGGGCAGGATAATGGGAGTGGTTAGTAGGACCTGGGAACTCTGTAGGGTGGGGCGCATGCATCCTGGCAAGAAGCAAGAGCTGCCTTCCTGGAGTTTCCTAGTCATCCCTCCTTCAGGCTCCTTGCAGCTCATCCTGCTCACAATGGATCCTGGTTATATCTGGCAGGTATGAGGAGAGGAAAGGATAGACTCACTTTGCCTCCGGCCCCAAGACAGGCCCCTGGTTACAGTTGTTCTTTTCTCTCCTAATCCTCAACTCAAGCTCAGTTTTCTGGCCACAGACCCCTAGAATCAGCAATTACAATCACAACGTTTAACAGCCTTGGGGTGAACTCTCTTGGGGGTTGGCAGTCTCCTAAGGACTGAAAGGAAGTCTCAAATGGGCCACAGGTAGGGAGGGGATTCTGTACGATTTTGCTCTTTGGGGCTTGGCATTTCTTGAGCCCTAGAAAGCCGTGTGGACAACCCTTGTCTGACCACTCTCTTTCCACCCCACCCTGCCCGTCCTGGGAAGATGTGCCTTCCCAGGCCAAGGGAGCTCTGCTTTCTCAGGCCAATGCCTCTCATGCCTAGGCAGCCTAGTCGGTCTGATGGTCACTGAGAAGGAGGGTTAGGAGGAAGTCAGCACTACGCTTGGCCTCCAGGACTGGGCAGCAGCACTCACCGATCTGAAAAGGTACCCACAGGGCAGGGGAGAGGCATCCCAGTTCCCACTGGACAGAAGTGGCCTACGGGACAGGGACCTCCTGTGGTTGCACAGACATCTTCATCAGGGCTGACAGCCTCAGCTCCTGCCCAGGCAGGGGAGGGTAAGACCACACAGATCAGTCCCACCCTGGCCCCAGCCACGCCACCTCACATCGCTCTGTTGTAGGAACAAGGGAGTGGACCAAGCAGGCTGGGAGGGGGGCTGAGATGTGCCTCTTCCTTAATGAATTATTGTCATGGGGTGGGACCCTGCTTAGGAAGCTGACGTGGGGAGAAAACTAGGGACTGCTAGGATCTGCCCATCCTCAGGACAGTTGATGTAGGTCCTTTTGACCTCCAGGGTAGAGGGCACCCCACAAGAGAGCTGGGACACTCTAGCCCTGGCTGGAAGGCAACCCTAGCCTCTGAACATGTGCTTTAAAGCCTGCTCCCATCTTGGCCAAGTTTGTTGGGTTTTTTTGCACCATTAGGTCATGTCTTGATAGTTATCTCAGATCTCTTTGGACTGAGAGGGTAACACATAATTATTCTATTAAAAAAGTCCAAGAAAAAGGGAGACCTTCCATTTTTATGGGAGAAAAGACAGCTATATGGTGCTATTTTTGTGACTTCCCAGAGGCAGGGTGTGTGTGTGCATGTGTGTGTGTGTGTGTGTGCGTGTGTACATTAGGACATGTCTTTGCCGTGTGTGAATGCAGGTCACACTCCAACACAGGATGCTGAGGTGCAGGGAGGAGGTATCATGATGCTTCCTAAACAATGGGGCCTACAGCCTGCCTAGTCACTGGAAAAATACCAGTGAAACTGAGGAGAGAGAGCAGCTGCCCCATCTCACCTCCTGGGGCCAGGGATGAAGGGGCTGAGGACAGGGGCAGGGGATGTGCTATCAGCCTCTGAGCCCCACCGTCTCTTCCCTGGTATGTCCCTGAAGCCCCAGCATGGATCCCAGCGCTTCCATGTGGGCTTGCGGAGGCCCTAGGTAGCCAACCCAGTTCCAGTTAACCCTGAGATCATGCAGGGTTAACTGGGCCTGAACACTCTTACAGGGACCCTGCCAGGGTAGAAGGCCGGGCTATTGCTAACAGGACTCAAGGAGGCAAGCTCAGGTCTGTATCATTTTTGGAAGAGAGACCATGGGAAGTCTCCCTGAAAGCTTCTGTTCAGATGCCCTGTGATTTATGACCTTGTTGTCACTCCCTGGCTTTGTTCAGCACTCACCCTGGCTTCCTTGAGGGGCCTCCTGCTCAGACCCTTCCTTTCCCAGTCCAGGCACCAGCACTGTCTGTAGCCTTTGTGCCTGGCCTGCCTGGGGCTGTCCCTGGGAGTTACCCTCTGCGGCCGTCCCCTTCAGGCTCAGCGTCTGTCATCTGAACTCCACAAGGGGGACAAGGAGAGCTCCTGAGTGAGGTGACTTCCCACGGAAGGAAGAATCCCGTTCTGTCCCAAGGCCCCTCCTGAAACTCTCCCTGGCCAGCAGGAGAAGCAGCTCTCAGTGAGGTGACGTTCTCTGGCCCTATGCACAGCCTTGGTCTCTCTTCCCAAACAATACATGTCTGCCCACTCTCCTTACCTGCAGGGCATGGTGGGCAGCCCTGAGTCTGGCCTTGGCCCTGACACATCTGAGGGCAGTAGTGACCAGCCGTGCAGGTCTTCTTTGGACAAGCTTCTTGGCCTGGAAAAAGAGGCTCAGGTCATCTGAGGCCCTGCCCCTCTCAGTCTGTAACAGGTTTCTATAGTAACTCTACAGCCTTCTGAGTCACCAAGTACCTGAGTCATACTTGTCCTCCTTGTTCAGACTAGACGTGGCCACTAGGGGGCCTCCGAGGTGTCTCCAAGGTCCTCCCAGTGGTCTTGGGGTGAGTGCCCCTCCTGGGCAGTGAAATCCTGGAGGCAGAGGAAGGAGAGGGCTGAGGCTTTCTGGACTGGAGCCTGGCCTCCCTCCCAGACAAAATTCCTGCTGCCTGGTGCCACAGCATAGGGTCAGGTTCTGGGGCTGTCCCCAAGCAGCCTGAGATGTAGGACACTTTCAACTGCATGTGCAAATCCAAATCCCTGCGTGGACAAGGGGGGCTGAAGAGCAGGTGGCTGGATGGTAGAAGGGGACCCTCATCTCAGCCTCGGAGCCATGCTTGTCCCTTTCCTACTTTTACAGGCCCTTCTGCCCAGGCTTGGGAGCTGGGGTGAAGGTTTGTGATGAGGTTACAACCTGAGGTCTCATCTCCACCCCACACAGCCCTCCGCTCCCTCCCTCCTCATCAGCCCATGCCTAGCCACGTCAACCCAGGCACATCAGCCCCGACTCTCCAGTATGCCCGTCCCACAGGTGGCCAGGTGCTCTCTCTGTGGGAACTCTCACCTGGTGCACAGGGGCCTCTGGGGGCAGCCTGGCCTGCTACAGCACAGAACAACCCAGGTGGGCAGGGCAGGCACCAGCTCAAGTCCTGAGCTCCTCTCTCTGCATTCCAGGTGCCAGCAGGGCAGGGCCACTGCCTGGGGTCCTTTGTGCCAGCAGGGCAGAAATGGCCGGGGGGGCAGAGGTCACCAAAGGGGCGTCTCTCCTGGAAGAAGAGGGGTTTTTGAGGCTTAAGGCTGCGAGTAAGTGCCTTCCCTCCACTCATTTCCCTCTTGGGCCTCCCTGAGCCCTTCTCTGAGGAGCTTGGTGGCCCAGCCTGCTGGGCAGAGCCACCCTTGCTCCCAGCATTCCCAGGAACTGCTCTGTGATCTTAACTTTTAGAAAAATGAAACCAATGTTACTGTTGAATTGTTAAGTAAACTAGACAACCCCAACTCTTTGCATTTTTGCTATTCCAACTTACACTTCTTTGCTAATTTATATATATAAATTAATCAATGATATGTCATGTATCAACCTCCATGCATCAGTGTACCTACCTAATATCCTATATGGTTGATCGATCATATTTCTGCCTAGATATTTTTTTGTTAGTGGACCTTAGTGATGCTTTGTTATTATTTTATTTTGCTTTTAAAATATTGCATCTTGAACACTTTTACATCAATGATTACCTCTTTTCTGTTCTTTCCCACAATGGAGTTTTTAGATCCAGGGCGGGAAATGTCTTGGCTTTTGCTGCAGGTTGCAGATGGTTCTGCAGCAGCTGCAGGCTCGGTGCAGTGCGGCTGGGCAGGACTCTACCCACAGCAGTGCGCCCGAAGCCCAGCACTTGGCCTACCTGTGCTTATAGATGTGCATCAAGGTCCTTGCTCTGTGTGTCCTTGATATCAGTGCTGTGCCTTCCGGCTAATGATGTATTTGCATCTGGGCCCTGTCCAGTGGTGCTCAAGCATTAGAAGTGGGCCACCTTTTTGCTTGTCACTGAATCCTCACTGGATAGGGTTAGTGTCATTCCACTTGTCCTGTTTCTGCAGGGATATCTGTCCCCTGACAGTAACCACAGAGGGCAGGTGTCAGAGGCTCGGTAGGGCCTGCACTCACTGGGGATGCAGTGCTGGAGCCAGGTCCACAGTGATGGCCTGGGCGGCATAGTCCCTGGGGCTTGGCCAGGCCAGCTTTGCCACAGAAGGCTCCAGGGTGACATGGCTGGCAGTTCTCCACGCGAGTGGCCCCAGGAGCCCCTCGGAAGGTGCCCTGGAGACAAAGAGAGCCACTAAGTCCAAGGTCCTGGAGGCCAGAGGGAGCTGCAAGATGGACAAGGTGACCTCTGCCAGTGTCTACAGATCCCTCTCCCTTTCACTCTTTACCTCCCCTCTGGGGAGCCGATGGACCATCTTCTCCAAGAGTATACCCCTCAAGACACACTAGTGGGTGGCCCTGACTTGTCCATAGATCAAACACTTGTAAAAGACTTGCCCTGCAAAGAAGACTGTGGCTACCACCTCTTCACTGCAGATTCCAGTAGCAGTAGGGCAGGGAGAACAGGGTAGCCTGCTTACCAGAAGAGGGCTGTCTTGGAGGGGCAGTCATGATGGGTGTGTATGGGTGAAGCTGACCCCCTGGAACTCCTCCTGCACCTGCTGTCTGGGTCTCCTGCCTCCTCCTCCCTTCCCTGTTCCCCACAGACCTGGGTGACTCCGTGCTTCCTGTGCTGCGTGTACTGAGCTGCACCAAGGCGGAGGGCTCCAGAGCCTTCCTATGGAATTTAGAGACTCAGCTGAGGCTCAGGAGAGGGTCTCACCATGGGGCAAGGGATGGACAGTAGGCCTGGGGCTGGGCAGTAGTGACCAGGTGGACACACTATGGGGCCATCCAGCTTTGTCTGGTTGCAGAGTTTCCCTCCTGGGCAGCGCTGGCACTGGATACCTCCTGGACCCTGAAAGGGGTTGGCAACATGGCTCCACCACTGTACCCCTTGAGGGGCAGGTGCAGCATAGGTGCTCAGGACCTAGGTACATCTTTTTTTCTCTGGGAGGACAGGTGTGACAGAGCTTGTGAAAGTTGATGGCACCATGATGAAATCACTCTTGACACACCAGAACATTAGAGCCAGGAACTTATGAAAGAGGAGAAATTCCAGAGAAATTCTGTCATCGTATTCTGTGAGCCCTGTTTTGCACTATTCTTAAGTGTGAGCTGATTTCTACACCAAAGTTTATTTTTAACACTCTTTAAGCCTGTAAAAATCCAGACAAAATGCTCTCCAAGGCACCTTCCTCAGTGAGCTGAAACCAAATCTACCTTAGGTCTCCAAGACCGACGATCTTTGTATCTGAGGCAGACCTGGTCAGGAGAAGCTGACGCAGTACCTGAGTTGTATGTGGCCTGCACAGTGGGTTCTGCTTCCCTGACCCTGCATACCTCTCTCAGACTACCAGGGCTCCTGACAGCTGTGAACGTGTCTGGATTCTCTAAGAGAATACTGGCCAGAAGGCACTGGTGCCCTGCTGGGTTTGTATCTCTGTTCTGCCATCTGTAGACCTTCCTCATTCTGAAAAGGAAAGTTGTAACAGGGGTGGGGGGCAGGGTCCCTGGGCTGGCCCATGCCAGAGTCTGCACTTGGTGAAACTCCAGATAAATGGGAGGTGTGAGGACAGCGCTTGGTGAGGAGTAAGAAAGATCTTATCTAAACTCTGTAGGGACTGCCTTCATGCAGCCTACAGTAACATGTTCTGCATAGCTCCCCAGTGTTATTATTGCCTGCTGGAGCTCAGGCCACTTCTTTGAATAACCCCAAGCTCCCCAATGAGTGGACCTGCAGAGTTGACAATGGCAGAACTAGGAAGGGCTCGCGCTGTGATACCTTCCTGCGGTAGTTATCTCTAGAGGTATACGTGATGACATGTAAGTGCAGGTGGGGGCAGTGGGAGGAGGATGTGAATGCTCCTCTGAGTCTGGAAAGAAGCCCAGGCTTCTCCTCCTTGCTAACATGGGATGTGAATGACGTCAGACGCCCTTGCCACCTACAGCTCATTGTCAAGGGTACTAAATGGAAATACCTCCCCAAGCCAGGCCCATGGGAAAAACTATGTAGGAGTAAGAAGTCAGAAGAGTAGCTGGGTTCAAGCCCACCCACAGCCCTCCTTCCAGACCCTGGACTCTACTTGGCAGGGCTGGGGCCTGGAGATGAGTTCATGTTGGGGCTGGGCAGTCTTGTTTCTGAAGAGGCATTTTTCAGACAGGGAAAATGCCTTTGCCCTGGAGACCCCATTGGGGTTGGGGAGGTAGTTAAGGCATGGGCAGATTTCTCCATAGATACTGAGGTGCCCATAGATACTGAGGGCCTTTTTCCCTTCTCTCCCTGAGAAATGTTTTATTTATCCCCCAGCTTGTGTGTAGGTTCTAGCTCAGTGGAAAGAAGGAGCCCCAGCCTGGACCTGGGAGAGGACCCCATGCCTGTCTTCCTGTCCCTCTCTCTCTGCTCCCTAGAGGAAGTGCCTGGATCTTGCCCAGACTTGAGCCCTTCCTAGGGTGATGATCCCCCCAGCCCAATTTGTGTGCTTTCTTCCTGCCTGGAGTGGAGCCCCGGGAAATCAGAAAACAAAGGTGTTGTCTCCTTTAGGACAGGCTTTCTGGGCTGTGGGCCTGGCCACCTCCTCACTTCCTTGCCCTCTGAGGATGACATAGGTTGTGGAAATACTTACAGAGAAGCTGCCAATATTGCAGGGTTGAGGCTTGAAGATGCCTGGCTTGGGACACTGGTGGCCTGCTGGGCACAAGGCACAGCCCACCTCCTGCTCTGCACCTGGAGCATGGCGGTAGGTTCCCCTAGAGTAGGAGGGATTGCTGAGGGCCCCTGTCTTCCAGGAGCAGCCCTGACATCTGGAGCAGTATCTCCCTGCAGGTGTCAGGGAAGATCCCAGACTGTTTAGCCTCCCAGCAGGCCTTGTATGGGTAGTGCAAGCACAGAGACTTTATAAGCAGTCTGGTAAGGCTTCTTCTCAAAGTTGTCTGCTTCTCTTCTTTTATATCTTTCTGATGTTTGTCTGTCTGTCTCCTCTGTCTCACCTTCACTGACTAGTAAGAACCTCTACACAGCAAGACAGTAAATAGGTGGGTGCCTGGCCTCTCCTTCATGTTGTTGATTCCCCTATATTGCTTTTGACCTTTGTTGATGATGCTCTTGAAAGACAGAAGCATGAAATGCTGCTTAAGTCCCTCGATTCTGCCACTCTTCTAGGCTGGATTGAGTCATCTCGTATAACTCTCCACCTCCTCCAGCCCAGAGCATGCTCT